TTAAACTTGGCAAGAGGGGAAGTGAAATCAGGGACATGTTAGTCCAACTTTGTGAGGATAACGCCGTGAAGAAAGTGGTAGTGTACAAATAGATTAAACATTTTCCTGGGGAGAGAGAAAGCATCACTGATGAAGAGAGATTGGGGTAGCCAGTAAGGAGAAGAACTGACAAAAACATTGCAAAAATTCATTGAATTGTGTGTCAAAATTGTCAGTTGACGCTGAGAAGCATAACAGACCAAATAAACATAGGGAAAGAGGAAAATTTTAACTGAAAATCTTGTGCAAAAATGGTCCTGAAGAAGCTCACTGATGAACACTGAGGGAATTTTTAGCCAGTAAATAAATAACTGTGTTAGAACACCCTCCCATAATTGGTGGGATCACACCTATGGTGCATTTTACAAGGGTACATGTTAAATTTACTAAGTGTAGAGTATAGATGTCTTAACACAGTAACTAAGAAAATGCGGTGAAGGCTGTGTTAACCAGTTTGATGAAAATATTTCAAATGGTATATAAAACCAGTACATTGTACCCCATGATTACATTAACATACACAGCTATGATTTAATAATAAAAAAAAGAACACCCTCCCTACTCTATCTGATCTGACGCCCTAGTGACTTTATTCTTTACCCAAAGATACATTGAAAGGATGACGTTTTGATGGCAATCGGGACATCAAGGATAATATGACAGCACCTCTGATGCCATTCCAGAAAAAGAGTTGCAAAATTGCTTTTAAGAGTGGACTGGGGGCTGGTGTCAGTGCATAGCTTCCCAAAGGGAGTCTTCATTATTTCCTAGTCACTTTATTGATCATAATTTTTTCTTTTATTTAACAGCTGGAAGCGTTTGCTAATTTTTTTGGGAAAGATGGTTGTAAGACATTGAAAATTTTCTACCAGGAAGGAGACGTGCCTGGTGTCGGTAAGAATGTTTTGTGAGGGCAGCATACCAGTAATTAGTTAACGAAGGTTAATGTGAAGTATATGGTTTCTCTTAGACATGGAGAATTCTCTATTTATAAAGAAAAGTTTACTGGAAACTTATGTGTAAAACATACAGTGTCTTAACAGTATATTTTCAGCCCAAATATATATGTATTTCAGGCATTACTATAATGATTTAAGGAGAAACCTTCTTTATAGAAATCATCGACCTCTTCTAGGGAACACATATTTTCATTAGAGTTTAATTGCATTGTCCCTGAGACAGATGGAGCCATCTTGTCTAGATGACTAGAGATGGCCATGACTCTATCCAGAGCCCAGTGTTATCCAGAGCACCCTGTGGTCCTGGCTGGGGATCTTGTGCCTGCTTCTGCTGTCAGTCGGACTCCCTAGCTCTCTCTGCTGGGTGGAGTGTGCCTAAGGTAGTTAACATGCTACCAGCTTGTTAAGCTTTGCCTTAATGTAATGGCTAGGTACCTGGGTTATCCTTTTGGTTCAGACTCCTCCTCTGCCAAGTCCCGTGCCTTTACCTTCAATATGTCCCTCCTGTTGGTTCTTTCTCACTTCCTTCCTCTGTTGCCTTAAGCTAGGCCCGCATCTCCTGCTTCCCATGAAAACCAATATCTCTGTTATCAGATTCTCTCTCTGAACTTCACACCACTAAATCCTGTCAAGTAACTCTTACTATCCTGATGTTTATTGGATTAGGGCTAAATCCCTCATTCGCCTGAGGCCCATGGTAATGAGGGCACCCAGCACTTGTCTGGGCTGCTCTCCTGCTCTTCCAGATGTGAATGTGCTGCTCCCTTTAAGCACCTGTCTTCATTGTTCTCTGTACAGACCAGAGTCATCTCTGTGTCCTTCTCTCCACTCTTCTGACTCTCTCTGATTGCCTTTCTTCTTGCCATCCAGGAAATCCTACTCCTTCTTCAGATCACCCCGTTAGTTTGGGTTCTCATCTTGTCTCTGATGGAGAGCCTTCCAAACCACAGCCACCACCAGATTCCTGTCTTAAAGTTCGCATCACACATATGGCATTTGATTATGTTCTTCTATTTTCCTCTAATTGCTTAATATACCTGCAGCATATTTTGCCATGTATAATGCCCTCCCATGTATAACTTGTACCTGTGTTTTTGGCTCAAACTTTCCAGAAAAAAACAATTTAATTTTTTAATTTAAAATTTTATTTGTTTGTAGATGCTTGTGTTTTGCATTATAAAGGAATTTTAACATTTTTTTAACATGTCATGTTAAAAAACATAATAATTTAACAAGGAATTTTATGTAACAAATAATTAAAAAATGCAAGAACAGGTAACAAGGTACAAGAAATTTCATGTACCAGCAATAAATTCATGATATTTACACATGCCCATCATAGAAGGCCAAGGGTTCTCTGCCACTGTCAATATCAGAAGTATTTTCTTCTTCCATTTCTACATTTCCAGTGTCCTCTGAAGAGTCACTTTCCTCATCCTGGTAAATTTCATCATTCTCGGTTCCATGCGTAGCATTGCTGATGCCGCATTTTATAAAATGATTTCATAACCACTTCTTTCTTGAGGCCATTCCACAATCTTAGGATCCAGTCATGAACCTTGGTGACAGATGCTTTCTTGATTCATGGTGTTAAATTGTGATCAGCTGACTGCATCCATGACATCCACTCTTTCTTCATTAGGGCCTTCAAGGGCTTGTTCACTGATAACCCACCAGGTATCACAGCAAGTTGGGTTTTCAAGTCCACTGTGATTACTTTTGCACTTTGTGTAACATGGGCTTTGAAGTCACAGAAAACAAGCAAAGCTGGTTTTTAAAATAGTCCTCCAAGCCTTTGTGACCAGACTTTGTTAAACCAGATTTTCTTTCTTTCTTTCTTTTTTTTTTATTTTGCTTTTAATTTCAACTGGCTTTTATTCATCTTAGTTTGAAGTTTGTTTTTATTTTTTTTTTTCTTTTCTTTCTTTAGTGATTCTCTTGCCCTTTGCCTCCCAAGTAGCTGGAATGACAAGTGCCTGCCACAATTCCTAGCTTTTTTTTTTTTTTTTTGGTAGAGACAGGGTTTCTCATTCTGGCTCACTCCAGCTTAGGATGGTCTCGAACATCTCTGCTCAGGCAATCCACCCTCCTCAGCCTCTCTCAGCTCTAGGACTAAGGGCATGAGCCACCACACCACCACGCCCGGCCATTAAACCAGATTTTCATGCTCTCTTCATTCATCTATGCTTTTTCATGCACAGGACAATAACTCCACTCAAAATCTTTTCTTTTGGAAATGTTTTTCTTTTAACGATGATCATAGGTGGTAGCTTTGTCCCATCTGCACAACAGGCTAGAACAACAGTGAAATGTTTCTTCAGGTCCCCTAGTTTCATTAGCCATGGTCTTTCCTCCTCTGACATCCACAGTTCTGCAGGATGGCACATCAAATGTGAGACCTCATCCATATTGGCGATTTGGGATAGCTCAAAGTTGTAGGACTTTTGTAAGTTTTTTGAAGTTTGATAACATAAGAATGAAATTCCAAAACTTGATTCTTATAGGCTCTGGAAGTTTTGGGGGCAATTCTTTTCATGTCCTTATGCTCAAACCTTCTCTCTTCATAAAGTTAAAGCATGATTTAGGTGTCCCTGAGAAATCATCAATGTTTTTTTCTCATGCAATCCTATTACCCTCTTCTTGTGTCATCTTGGTCAAAACAGAGATTGCAGGCCTTCACCTCTTCCTCTCCCTCTGGCCACTTTGGAGGTCCCCTCACATTGCCTTCTTCTGTCTGGGCATTTGAAGAAGCTTCTCTGCCTGTTGCCTCCTCAATCTGATGACACTCTCGGTGGGAGGAGGTCCAAAGTGTCTCTTGGCAGCTCTGTTGCCATGTTTTTTTTTCGCATATTTAACAACTGTTAGCTTCAAGCTTGCAGTGTATAAAAACTGTTTTGACATTTTCTGAGGGACTTCCCAATAATTTTTATAAAAAATATCTGCTAGATTGCTAGCTCCCACCTGAATGTATGAAGAGAAATAGGTCACTCTTCATTGGTCAAAAATGCTTTTGTTGCAAGCTTGTCCTAAGTTAAACAAAACTGATTACTATATTCCAGGATATTATTTTGTGTACTGATATTGTTTCTGCTTTCTACAGTTATACTTTTCATGAATAAGCATAAAAAAAGAATTAAAAACATTTATATAGATACAGAATCAGTACTATTCCTGTATAACATGTACCCTTATTTTTTCCCCAAAAAATTTGGGCAAAAGGGGAAGCACCTGTGGCTCAAAGGAGTAGGGCACCAGCCCCATATACCAGAGGTGGCGGGTTCAAACCTGGCCCTGGCCAAAAATTGAAAAAAAAAAAAAAAGAAAATTTGGGCAAAAGTTTTACATTAGACATGGCAAAATATGGTATATAGCTTGTTTCCTCTACAAAACAAGTAAACTCAAATTTGGTCACTAGGTTTGCTTTGTGGATTTTCTGTCCCTCCCAATTCTTATCCTTGGGGAAATATTAAAATTATTATTATTATTTTTGAGACACAGTCTCATTCTGTTGACCTGGGTAGAGCGCCAGGGCATCATAGCTCACAGCAGCCTCAAACTCTTAGGCTCAAGTGATCCTCCTGCCTCAGGCTCACAAGTAGCTGGGACTACCAGTTCCCACCACAATGCCTGGCTATTTTTTTCCTACTTTTTAGTAGAGATGGGTGTCACTCTTGCTCAGGCTGGTTTCAGAACTCCTAAGCTGGAACAATCCACCTGCTTTGGCCTCACAGAATGCTAGGATTATAGGTGTAAGCCACCATGCCTGGCCCAAATTATTGTTAAAAATCAAAACAACAGCTGAAAATTATAGAAAATTAAGAAAATATCTATAATTAGAATAAAAATACAAACCATCCATAGTCTCACGCAGAAGAAAGCACTGTTAAGTCCTTGATAAATGTCCTTTTGTAACTGCTTTAGTTTACATACATATTTAACAAAAATGAGATCAAACTCTACATATTATTCTATAGTCTTTTAATTAATTAATTAATTTTTGGAGACAGAGTCTCACTATGTCACCCTCAGTAGAGTGCTGTGGCATCACAGCTCACAGCAACCTCAAACTCTTGGGCTCAAGTGATCCTCTTGTTTCAGCCTCTTGAGTAACTGGGACTACAGGTACTGGCCACAATGCCGGGCTACTTTTAATATTTTTAGTAGAGACAGGGTCTTGCTGTGGCTCAGGATGGTCCTGAACTCGTGAGCTCGGGTAGTCCACCTGCCTTGGCCTCCCAGAGTGCTAGGATTACAGGCATGAGCCACCAACCTGGCCAAATGTTTAATTTTTATTGAAATCAGTTCAAGGAAGTATGAAATATAAATTAAGTGCTATCAGTAGACTTAGGACAGAAACTGGACCTTCTCAGGAGAGTCAGTGAAGGCTTTCTGAAATGGAGGCATTTCAGCTGAGATCTAAAAGGTGAGTAGGAGTTTGGTAAGCATAAGGTTGGGGATAGGATAGGAGAACAGTTTGTGTGAAGGCCTTGAGACCAGACCAGAAGGAACAAAAGTGCAGCATTCAGGGAAAGGCACCCAGAGAAACTCAGAGAAAGCTGCAATTTAAGAATTATAATTATCGACAATTCTTTTGTAGACCAAAAAAGATTTGGTTTATGATCCTATTGAACACTTCTTACAGCAAAGTAAAATAAGAAACAATAATGTGAGAACCATAGAAATGTATCACATTTGATCAGTTACATGATCATATGCTAATTTTTTAGCTTTTGTTTTCAGAATGCGGTCGGACCATTCCTGGAGTAACCAAAGGGTCAAAAATGATGAGATTGTATATAGACAACGCGGCCCCAGAGAAACTAAAAGGACTGTGTGTGTTTTTTGTTCGTTGTCGTAATGATGTTGCTATCAATGTTAAAAGTGTTAATGAGGTATGTTTACATTTTTTTCTTGCCAGTATCTAGTTAAGCATTGGATGTATTTTCATAGTTAAACTTTTGCTTTGCTTTGATTTCCCTTTTTAAATGTAGTACTGAATTGAGTTCTAAGAAAATAGTATATTCACATATTTAAAGAAATGGAGAAATTAGCTATAATAGAGGTAGTTGTATTTCTACTTTAAATACTACTTTTAAAATGCATGAAAATTTCATTCCTTCTAAATGGTATGCAAATAATTTTTATCTTTCCATTCACTAGAAACACATTTAATCTTGTTCATACTATTTTAAGTATTAGTTACTTTATTTAATTCTGTCTTCACTCAATAGTTTACCTCTCTAGTAGTTTTAGAAGAAGAAGGAAGAATTGACCTACATCCTGGAGATTGGTTCTTAGTCCTAGAAAAACAGGATGGTGGAATGGGAAAAGTACAAATTTTGGCAAGATAGGCCTGAACTTTTCTCCTAGCCTTACCGCTGACTAACAGTGTTTCCTTTGGCAAGTTGTTCATCCTCTGTGAGACTTAGGTCTTTACATTTGTAAATTTGGGGCTGATAATAACTACTTGGCAGGACTATTATAACACTAAATGATAATACAAGTGAATTCTTCTTATATTGCCTGACATACAGTAGACTTTCAGAAAATATTAATACTCTTTATTTTACTTATAGAGAATCTTTTTTTTTGAGGCAAAAGTCTCAAGCTGTCACCCTGGGTAGAGTGCTATGTTGTCATAGCTCACAGCAACCTCCAACTTGGGTTCAAGTCTCAGTTGTCTCAGTTTTTCTATTTTTAGTAGAGATGAGGTCTTGCTGTTGCTCAAGCTGGTTTTGAACTCATGAGCTGAAGCAATCCACTCGCCTCGGCCTCCCACAGTGCTAGGATTACAAGCATGATAGAGAATCTTAATGCCTTTTACAATGGAAAAGGAAACTGAAATCTAATCCAATTTTGCTCCTTTTCTGTTTACAACAGATAGCTTGAAGAGAAGTTGTTTCACTTGGGTTAGGATCCTAAATTGGTAGTTATAGTCCCCTGACACCTTGTAAACATTTCATTATCTCTCTTGTGGCTGATGAGACCTTTCCTGTTAGTGTGATTCATAGTGTAATTCATAGGTAATCTGTCTTTTTTCTTTCTGCCTGGTTTTACCCTGTCTTTTCCCTATACTGTCTCTGTATGTGAATCTTTCCTCAATCTATCTTTTGTTTCACTAGCTCTCAATTTGTCCGTGACTTAACCCATTCTTTTTTATAAATTAGTTTTTGTGTAACACTGTTGTATGTGCATGTAGATTAAAGAAAGAAGAGATTCTGTAAGCCTTGCTAAGAAAAACTGACTTCTACCCTGCTCTCCAGAAGGAACTATTAAACTCTTGGTGTATTCTTTCATTTACTTCCATATTGCCAAATAATATGCTCTGATTGCTCCCTTTGCCAGCATAGATATTATCTATGGACTTTTCTCTATGGAAGTGGAGGATTTGGCTTTTAAAATTAACTTCTGGCTTTTCTCTTTGTTTCTCCATCCCTCTGTTCTTCCAACATAGTTATATTCTATTTGGCTTAGCTAAATACTTGTTTATATCATTATAGCTATGTAAGGGTAATCATAGCTGAGCCAGGTAGCTGTTCTTACAGTGGTACCTAAGACTCTTTTGAGGGAACTGTAGGTCAAACCAATTTTTGTATAATACTAACATGCCATTTACTCTTTTCATTTTGTTGGCATTTGACTGATAGTGCAGAAGCTTCAAATCAAGATTTAGCACAAATCAAAACCATGGCACCAAACTGTACCAGTAGTCATGGTATTCTTTATTGCTACACACTCAGAATTAAAAAATAAGCAATTGATTTTTGGCAACCCTAGAGGAGTTTTTTAATCTTAATTTCTTGGTTTGGGATTTCCAAGTCACTTAAAATATATTAATTAAGATATTACACTCATGGATGGTGGGGTTTTGAGTTCTGGGCTTTTGATATTTTGTGGCTGGTAATTTCTTTTACTAAAATTCTGGGTAAGGGCTAGCTTCATTGTTTTTTTCTTGGCCTGATGGAGTTTTTCTGGTTCTCATTTCATGGATAGGGCAACTTTAAACTGAGGATTTTATTTATGCAGGAGGTTCACTTCCATCTCTCTCACCTTGTTAGGCTCTAGGCTATAGTGCCATTCCTATACAGAAATTAAAACATCGAGGAAAAGTGTCTCTGTGATGAGCAAACATATGACTACTTAAAATGCAGGCAGAATAATAAGTTTGTTGACTTTAGAGCTCTAATATTCCTAATCACTTAAGTTTCCCTAATAGTTTATAAAATATATTAGTGGTCTATGTTTTATGTTTTTGCAGTAGAAAATAGGTTATGATTTTTAGTTCTTTAATGGAATCAGCATCTAAAATAACATTTAAACATTACCCTTTCAGGACGTGCTATTTACTGTTCTGGATGCATCAGAAGGACTCTTAAAAGGGATTAGGAATATGCTGGCAAGTATATTTCTACCAGCTATTCTTGCAACAAACAGTTGGGGTGCTTTAAACCAGTCCAAACAGGGAGAATCTGAAAAATATATTTTCACCGAAACTATCAACAGATACCTTTCATTTTTAGATGGTAAGTATAAAATATTTAATGTTTAGTAAACTAATGATACTAAAGAGTAAAAATGAGCAAATTGACTGTATGTCATTAAAAATAAACTCTAGAGAAAATATTTGTATCCTAAAAGATGTTAATGTAATTGAGACCTACAGGTAAGCTGTGAAATCATTAGAATTCCTTATTTCTAGGTATCTTTGCAGGAGTAGAATATGTTTTCTTTTCTATTTTCTATTATGGTAGAAACAATCTCTTCCTCTAATATTAATGAAAATTTTTATCACATTAAAATATGTACTTTATTATGAACCTTTTAAAATCTATAATTTTATTTTATTTTTATTTTTTGCAGTTTTTGGCTGGGGCTGAGTTTGAACCTGCCACCTCCTGCATATGGGGCTGGCGCCCCACTCCCTTGAGCCACAGGCGCCACCCTAATTTCATTTTTTAATATAGTTAAAATATTACATTTTATTTTTTTGAGACAGAGTCACACTCTGTTTCCCTAGGCTAGAGTGCTATGGCATCACAGCGCACAGCAACCTCAAACTCCTTGGCTCAAGAGCTCCTCTTGTCTAAGCCTCTCAACTAGCTGGGACTACAGGTGCCCACCACGACACCTGGCTAGTTTCTCTATTTCAGTAGAAAGGGGGTCTTACTCTTGCTCAGGCTGGTCTCAAACTCCTGAGCTCAAGTAATCCACCTGCCTCAGCCTCCAGAGTGCTAGGATTACAGGTGTGAACCACCATCCTTGGCCCTAAAATATACAATTTTATTAATAAGCAAATTACAGTCTGATTGTCAATTACAAATTTCTGTAAAGTATTAGATCTTTAACATTTCAGCATTTACAGATTGAAAGCTCACATTAATATTTAACATATGGGCTCGGCGCCTGTGGCTCAAGTGGCTAAGGTGCCAGCCACATACACCTAAGGTGGTGGGTTCGAATCCAGCCCGGACCCGCCAAACAACAATAATGGCTGCAACCAAAAAATCCAGCGAGGCGTGGTGGCGGGCGCCTTTGGTCCCAGCTACTTGGGAGGCAGAGGCAGGAGACTAGCTGGAGCCCAGGAGTTGGAGGTTGCTGTGAGCAGTGTCTGTCTAAAAAAAATAAAATAAAATTTAACATATGGATATTAAACACTTCTTATTATTGTCTTTTCCTTTTTAGGTGCTACAGTGAGTATTGAAGGGACAGTGAAGTTAAAGACTATAGACCATGTTGATTTTTCCAAACTGCATACCTTTGAAGAAGTGACTGCAGCAGCCAGCAATTCAGAAACTGTTCATCAGTTAGAGGATGTGCTGATGATATGGTATAAACAGATTGAACAGGTAGATTGACTCAGATAATTGCATCTTGAGTAGTATTCTCGTGTGTGTTCTAGCCATTGTATTTTGTCCTTAAAAGTATAGGGAAGAGGAGTCTTCTTTAAATTCCTTCCAGATTCCTTTTTGAAACTCAGTTTATTCATGACCGTGAAGCAACATCATTAAAATCACCACCTAAAATCAATTTTAAGATATTTCTCATTTCAAGGAGGAAGCCATAACAATATGCACTGAGAAGGAAATAATGAAGAATGGCCATCATTTATTCCCAGGCTTCTTTTTAAAATTGTTTATGCTTTCTGTAAAAGAGAGAGGGAAAAGATAGAATGAGCAGTCACAGTGCTAGATGCTAAATAAATTCCTCTTGGTCGATCCGTGGAGCTGCCTGTGCTGTCACAGACTAGGCTTCTTCATATCAGTGTTACAGTGGTGAGTGTGCAGCTGTCTGGCTGTTATTACTGCCTGGCAGGAAGATTAACAATTTGATTTTTTATTTGGACCAGCATTTCAAATAATATCCTAATAGGCACGTGAAAAGGTCTTCAATGTCATTAGTGACCAGGGAAATGTAAAGTAGAACTGCAGTGAGATATTACTGCAAGCTCACTAAAATGGCTAAAATTAAAAAGCCCAGTACGCATGAGTGTTAATGAGGTTGTGGAGAACTGGAACTCTGACACTATGCCGTGGGAGTGTAACATGGTAGGACTTCTTTATAAAGCCTTCTAGCAACTTCTTGTACAACTCAGTATATACTAGTTAGCTACCCTGTGGCCTAGGAGTTCCACTCCTAGGTGTATACCCAAGAAAAATTAAAATATATGTCCACTAAAAAGACTTACATAAGAAATTTATAGCGGCCTTAATCCTAATCACTAAACACTAAAAACAATCCAAATGGGAAATAAACTATTTGTGAAATGAAACAATGAAATACAACTGAAATAAAAAATTACTGTTGATACATGAAATAACATGAATGAATCTCAAAAACATGTTAAGAGAAGTTTTTTTTTTTTTTTGAGACAGTCTCACTCTGTTCCTCTGGGTAGAGTGCCCTGTTGTTCACAGTAACCTTAAGCTCTTGGGCTTGAGCAATCCTGTTGTCTCAGCCTCCTGAGTAGCTGGGACTTCAGGCACCCCCACCAATGCCTGGCTAGTTTTTCTATTTTTAGTAGAGATGGGGTCTCACTCTTGCTCAGGCTGGTCTCAAACTCCTCAGTTCAGGTGGTTCTCCCACCTCGGCCTCCCAGAGTGCTAGGATTACAGGCGTGAGCCACCCTACTTGGCCATAGTAAGAAAAGTCTTAAAAACATAATATGAAAATCAAAACGAAACTATATATGAACCAGAGCACAATGTGTGACTTTATCTTCTTAAGCACGATACAAAATCCAGTGCCACAAAAGGAAAAAAAAAGACAGATTAAGCTACATAAAAAATAATTAGTAACTTATATATGACAGCAAACACCATAAACAAAGTTAAAAGTCCTTCTGGGAGAATATGTTAGTGTATATAACAAAGAGTTAGTATCCATAATATTTAAAGAGCTTCTATAAAGCAATAAGAAGTGGGTAATTCATAGAAAAATAGGCCAAGGGTGTGAATTAGTGCCATTCAAGGAAAGTAGATGGAGATGTTGGACCTGAAAAAAAAGTGAGTTTAGGAGTGACATGATATCCTCAAATATTTGATGAGATTTCATGTGAAATCAAACATAGACTGTACAGTGAAGGCAGAAGACCAGAGTGTGATAGCCATAAGGAGAGAGATTTTGTCTTGAAATCAGGATAATTTTCTCACAATGTTTTTTCCATGGAAAAATGAAAGTAGATAATTCCTGGAAGTATCTAATTTGAGTCTGGATTACCCTATGGTCTGAGTCATGTCGTAGCAGAAATTAAGAGTTGCTGGATTTATTTAAGTTCTAAAATTAAAATCTTTATTTATTTATTTATTTATTTTTTTGAGAGTCTCACTTTGTCGCCCTTGGTAGAGTGCTGTGACATCATACCTTACAACAACCTCAAACTCCTGGGCTTGAGCAATTCTCTTGCCTCAGCCTCTCAAGTAGCTGGGACTACAGGGGCCCTCCACAAAGTCCGGCTATTTTTAGAGACAGGGTCTGACGCTAGCTCAGGCTGGTCTCCAACCTGTGAGCTCAGGCGATCCATCTGCCTTGACCTCACAGAGTGCTAGGAGTACAGGCGTGAGCCACTGAACTTGTCCTTCATTTAAAATTTTTAATTCTTTGATTCACATTATGTAGACTTTTAGACATTTAGGAGAAGTTTAAGCTTTGTCTAGGACCCTCTGTTTAAGGAGGTTGAGGAGCTTATAGAAAGATTAAGAAAGAGTTCCATAAATCATTGAAGCTAGAACCTTCAGGGGTTTAAAAAAATTTGTTATGTATTTAATCTCAATTGTTTTCTTAACAATTCCATCACAATTTAAATTATGAAAAGCTGCAAACAATGTACAGAAAATAATATAACACCACTGAAATTAAATAGATACTAACCATTTTCTATTTGCTTTAGATTTCTTGTTTCTGCTAAAGTCTCCAATGCTTTCCTCTTCCTCTATCCTGCTGTAGTCTCCTATTCCCTTGAAGGCTTTGCACTTTTGTTGCATTTGTGTCTATAACCTGCTTATTATACACACAGAATATGTATTTGTGTTTAAAATCCTTACATGAAAGATATAATACCTTAGTCCATTTGGGCTAGTATAACAAGATACATAAACTGAGTGGCTTATACACAACAGAAATTTCTTTCTCACAGTTCTGATTCTATCCCCGGCTCAGAGAAGGTAGCCTAGTTGTCCTCTCCCCGTACTCTCTCATGGCAGAAGGAGCAAAGCAGTTTTCTTGGGTCTCTTTAAAAGGCATGAATCTTATTCCCTCAGTGCTCTACCCTTATGACCTAATCACCTCCCAAAGGCCCCATCTCCAGATGCCTTCACATTGGGGATTAGGTTTAGACCTGTGAGTTGTGGTGGGATGTAAACGTTTAATCTATAGCAATGCCACATGTAGACTTTGATAGCCATTCTTTTCTCATTAACTTTGTCTTTTAACTTTAACTTTGGTACCAGTGAATTTAATTCATTCACTTAGTTGGTATCTGCTATTCTTCTTTATGATTATATTTTGTCATACAGACTTTCAGACATTTGGGAGATACTTAAATTATGCCTAGTATCCTCTATTTAAGGAGGTAGAGAAGTTTTATCATCCATTTCCTCAGAAAGACAGTTGTTTCTGCTTTTTTTTGCTATTACAGACAGCAGTAATACACATTCACTAAACATCTTTGTTTGGGTTTCCTTTGCACGTGTTCAAGAGTTTCTCAGTGGAATTGCTAAGAGCAAAACTATATGGCCTTTTTTTTTTTTTTTTTGAGACAAAGTCTCACTTTGTTACCCTTAGGAGAGTGCCGTGATGTCATAGATCACAGCAACCTCAAACTCTTGGGCTCAAGCAACCCCCTTGCCTCACCCTCCCAAGTAGCTGGGACTACAGGTGCCTGCCATAATGCCCAACTACTTTTTAGAGACAGGTCTCACTCTTGCTCAGGCTGATCTCCACAACTTGTGAGCTCAAGCAATCCACCTGCCTCGGCCTCCCAGAGTGCTAAGATTACAGCCATGCACCACTGTGCCTGGCCCTATATGGACCTTTTATTGGTTATTACCAGGTCCTTCAAATAGGGGTTATATTAATTTATATGTTTTTGTGAGAGCATATGAAAGAGTTCCTATTTCTTTTGGTTACCCTTAGGGTTGCCAGATTTTTACTTGTTGCCAGCATGTTAGATGTGAAATAGTATCTGGATTTACTTTGCCTTACCCTATTATTGAGGTTAAAGCATATGTAATGGCAATTTAGGTTTCTTCTAAGTTGAATTACCTGTTCTTATCCTTTACTCAATTTTCTTTTGAGTTATTTAATGTTATCACTGTATTACTGGCGTTTAATTAATATTTTTCAGATGTTAATCCTTTCTTAACTCCCGTAGTATCATGTCTATTTACTTATTATGGTGTCTTTAGTTATGTGAAACGTTTAAGTTTTAATTTAGTTAAATATATTAATTACAGATGTTAATTCAGCCTCTACTTAGCTACCTCCAGTGACTACAGACTTCATGCTTTTTGTATTTTGTTAGGAAACCTTTCCTATTCCAGTGTTAGAAGACATTCTATCTATCTATCCATCCATTGTTTCAGAATATTAGAATGTACATGTGTTTTATTTATATACTTTGTTTTTTGTACAGATTGAGTCAAAGTTGTAAGTGTGCCCTTCACCCAGGTAGTGTGCACTGTATCCAGCAGGTGTCAATTTATCCATCACTCCTACCCTAATCCCCAAGCTTTATTTCATTGACATTTACTTCCAAGCGTGCACTTAACATGCTGATTAATTAGTTCTAACTTGATATTCAGTACATGTGATTGTTTCTCCATTCTTGTGATGTTTTACTTAGAAGAATGGTTTCCAGTTCCATTGAAAAGATATTAGATAGCTATTTTTTATGGCTGAGTTGTACTTCATAGTATGTGTATGCCACATTTTATTATTCCATTCATGTATTTCTGGGCACTTGGGTTGTTTCCACGTCTTTGCGATTGTGAATTGTGCTGCTATAACCATTCAAGTGCAGGTGTCATTTTTGTAAAATAACCTTTTTCCTTTGGGTATATACTCAGCAGTGAGATCACAGGATGAAATGGTGGGTCTGCTTTAAGTTCCTTGAGGTATTCTTCATACAATTTTCCACAGAGGTTGTCCTAGTTTCCAGTCCCACCAATGGTGTATAAGAAAGAGTTCCTTTCTCTCTGCATCTACACCAGCATCTGTTGTTTTGGGACTTTTTAACATGAATCGTTGCCATTGGAGTTAGGTGATATTGGGTTTTGATTTGCATTTCCCTAACGATTGGGGACATTAAAGATTTCTTCATGAGTTTGTTGGCCAGTAGTATATCTTCATTCGAAAAGTTTCTGTTCATGTGTTTTGTCCACTTTTTAATGGGGTTGTTTGGTTGTTTCTTGCTTATCTGCTTGAGTTCTTTGTAGATTCTGATAATCAGTTCTTAATTAGATGTGTAGCATGTGAATATTTTCTCCCATTCTGTGGATTGTCTTTTTGCTCCATTGATTGTGTCCTTGGCTATGCAGAAGCTTTTTAATTAGATCTGTTCCCATTTTTTTTTGTTTTTGCTGTGATTGCTTTTGGGATTTTCTTCATGAATTCTTTGCCTAGCCTGATAGCTGTAAGAGTTTTTCCAGCATTTTCTTCTAGGATTCTCATAGTTTCCTTCCTTACATTTAAGTCTTCTATTCATCATGAGTTATTTTTGTGAGTGGTAAGAGATGTGGATCCTGTTTCAGTCTTTTACATGTGCCTATCCAAATTTCCCAGGACCATTTATTGAACAGGGATTCTTTTCCCCAATATATATTTTTATCTGTCAAACATCAGATGTGAACATGAAGATGATTTCACCTCTGGGTTCTCTGTTCTGATCCATAGGTCTGTGTGTCTCTTTTTGTGCCAGTATAATGCTGTTTTGGTTACTGTAGCCTTGTAGTTTGAAGTCTGGTACAGTGGTGCCTCCCACTTTGTTCTAATTACATAATGTTGCATTGGCTATTTGGGGTCTATACAAAGCATCAAACTATGTTTTCTAGATTTGCAAAAACATGGCATTGGTATTTTAACAGGGATTGCATTGAATCTGTAAATCACTTTGGGTGGTGTAGCCATTTTAAGAATGTTGATTCTGCTAATCCATGAACATGGTATATTTTTCCATCTGTTTATATCCTCTGCAGTTTTTTTCCTTAGTGTTTCATAATTCTCCCTATAAAGGTCCTTCACCTCCTTTGTTAAGTATATTCCTAGGTATTTTATTTTCTTTGTTGCTACTGCAAAAGGTATTGCGTTTTTGATTTGATTATCAGGGGCATATATGAAGGCTACTGATTTCTGTACATTTGATTTTGTAACCTGAGACTTTGCTGAATTTATTTATCAAATCCAGCAGGCTCTTAGTTGAATCTTTGGGGTTTTCTAGACATAAGATTATGCCATTAGCAAAGAGCAATAGTTTGATCTCTTTTTTTCTCATTTGGACCTCCTTGATTTCCTTCTCTTGCCTAATTGCTCTGTAAGAACTTCCCACACTATGTTGAATAAAAATGGTGAGAGTGGGGAACCTTGTCTGGTTCCAGTTCTAAGCAGGAGTCCTTTCCATCTTTCCCCATTCAGTATGATGTTGGCTGCAGGTTTGTCGTATGTTGTCTTTATAACTTTGAGGAATACCCCATCTATACAGATTTTTTTTTGTGTGTTCTTCTCATGAAAGGGTGCTGAATTTTGTCAAATGCTTTTTCTACATCAATTGAAAGAATCATCATATTTACTTTAAGTAGTAAAATAAAACATGAATATGATAAAAGAAAAAAAATGTTGTAAAATGAACCCCTGTGTAATCTTTGCACAAGTTAAGAAAGAGAATATTACCGACACTTCATGATGCCCCTGTGTTCCTTTCCCCAGTTACAAATCTCCTTTCCTCTCCAAGTAGTAACCATTATCTTGACAGTCGTGATACTCAATTCTATGCTTTGCTTTGTAGTTTTGTCCTTATCTTCTACATTTTCTTTTAGAAGTTTTACCATTTTATTTTTAATGGTAACATTCTTAATGTATCTGGAATTCTTTTTCCGTGCATGTGTATGAAATGAGTGGTAATTTAATTTTGCCTTTTCCCATATATCTGTAGTTCACCAATAATCCCAATTTAGCATTCTCTGTTAAATTGTTTATTTAGTATTCCATTATTTTTAAAACAAATTTGTGAAATTTGTTTTAGAGCACTTTTTCTATCCCACTGCTCTACTTATTTGTTTTTTTATACTCATTCTGTACTGCTTTAATTTCTGTAGTTTTTTTTTTTTAACTAAATCAATATTTGATATGTCAAGTCTCCGTGTTTTTCTTCAAAATTGCATTGAATATTTTTGGATAATTATTTTTCAAAATTAACTTTTTTTTTTTTCTTGCAGTTTTTGGCTGGGGCCAGGTTTGAACCTGCCACCTCTGATATATGGGGCCAGTGCCCTACTCCTTTGAGCCACAGGCACTGCCCTTCAAAATTAACTTTAAGATGAGTTTTTCACCTAGTTGAGATTTTGATTGGAGTTTTACTGCTTGTATACGTTAATTTAGATAAAATTTTCCTCATTTATTGTATTGAATTTTCCATCTGTGAACACGTATACCTCTCTGTATATTAGGTCTTCTTTTGTGTGCTTCATAAAGGGTCTGGCACACCTTTTTTTTTTCCTTAGCTTCTTTAATAATGGTATTTATTCTTTTCTGTTTTGAATAACAATTTCACAAAATCTCCATTACTCTTTGATTAAGTGAGGGCAGAAATCTTGTTCATCCCCTTAGCTGGTAGCAGTTGTGGAAATGTCGTTTGGATAATCATCATAAGCATGAGTGATCTGCAGTACCCTCTTTAGCAGTGTAGCCCCATTTATAGGTATGTTTGGGTAACTGGACCTGGAAGGCATGGTAGAATTTGTCCTGGGCTCCGCCTTTGGACCCCCTTGGGCTCATCTTTCTTTTTTTTTTTTTTAAATCCCACTTTTATTTATTTATTTTTTTCATATACATGTATTTATTAGGCTTCCACTTTTTGCTTTCACAAAATTAAAAAGGCTTACAATTTAACAACAATATGTTTAAGATAAGGACTAGAAACAAAAACGTCATAAAAAATGAATGAAGATAAATACATTCAGAACAGAAATCAGACGATTACTGCAACAAAGTATTAAGCAATGATAATAATAGTAATGTTTGGCACACCTTTTATTACGTTAATTTCTGGTTATCTTATCATTGTTATTATTTGCTACTACAAATGATATCTTTTTGGAAATTACATTTTCAGATTGTTAGATGTCTTGTAAAGAAGTGTTACTGATTTTTATGTGTAGATCCAACAGCCTTACTGAATTGTTCACATTAAATGTAATAGTTTGTCTTTAGATATTCTTGAATTTTTAAAATGCAGCCAACCATATCATCTGTGATTATGCCATTTTTGTGTCTTCATTTCCAATTCTTTTTTTAAATTATTTTCTTTCTTAAATCATAGCTGTGTACATTAATACAATTGTGGGGTACCGTGTGCTGGTTTTATATACCATTTGAAATATTTTCATCAAACTGGTAATATAGCCTTCACCACATTTTCTTAGTTATTGTGTTAAGACATTTATACTCTACACTTAGTAAATTTAACATGTACCCTTGTAAAATGCACCGTAGGTGTGGTCCCACCAGTTACCCTCCCTCATTTCCAATTCTTATACCTTTTGTTTACTTTACTTATCTTGCTCTGGGACCTCCATTACCAGGTAGAAAAGAAGTTGGCAGTGATAATGGCAAACTTGTCATTTCTTTAGTTTTAAAGGGAAAGACTTATATGATCTGAAGAGAAACAAGAGTATGTTATCTCCTTGGTTCTAAGGTGATAATTTCTAAAATTTCACCTTTCAATTTAATGTTTACCTTTAAATAGATACTATTTATCGTGTTTCAGAAGTTTTCTTCTAGTCTTTGTTAAGAGTTTTAAACATTATTCAGTGTTGAATATATATTATAACTTCCATTAAAAAGATGCAATGATGTTTTAACAAAGAAGAACGTAATATTTTTCTATATTTTATAGATTTTTAACTTTTTTTGTTTTGGGGCAGGTGCTTATTGAGAGTGAGCAGATGAGAAAAGAAGCTGATGATTCAGGGCCACTCACCGAATTGGAACACTGGAAACGCATGTCAGCGAAGTTCAACTATATCATTGAACAGATTAAAGGGCCAAGTTGTAAGGCTGTCATCAATGTGCTAAATGTTGCACACTCCAAATTGTTGAAGGTAAAAGGCCTTTTATTTTACAGAGAGTTTCTGCATGCTCTTCATCTAGCTTCTTCTAATATTAACATTCTTTGTAACTATTGTACAGTGATCAAAACTAAGGGGTTAACATTGGGACAGTACTATTAACCATTCTACACACTTAATGTATATTTCCTCAGTTTTTCCACTAATGTTTTTTCTGTTCTGGGATCCAATCCAGGATCCTACATTACATTTAATTGTCATGTCTCCGTAAGCTTCTCCAATGTAACAGTTCCATAGTCTATACTTGCATTTTATGTCTTTGATACTTTTGAATAGTAATGGTTAGTTATTTAGTACAGTGTCCCTAATGTGGGTTCGTATAATGGTTTTTCACAAACAGATTGAGGTTATGCATTTTCGGCAAGATTGCCCCAGAGTTGATGTGTTCTTGTCAGTGTGTCTTATCAGGGATACATTATATCGACATACCTTATTACTGGTGATTCGGCTTAAGTCATTTACTTAAAGGTGGGGTTTTCCATGTTTCTCTACTATACAGTTACTATATTTGGGGGAGATAGTTTGAAACTACATAAAAACTGACTGCAGCAATTATTACTATCATATGCTAATGGGGATTTTCCAGTTCCCCATTCCTTCTGCATTTGTTAATTAGTATTCTTGAGTGAGAACAAGTTATTCCTTCTCTCCTTTTAGTTACTTATTTGATCATTTATTTAGATTAATATAGCTTAGCGGATATTTATTTTATATTTTGAGTTATAGTCTGATACTGTAATTTGTTGCTCAAATCATTGCAGCCTTGCCCATCAGGAAATCCGTCCGTTTGGTTCCTCTGTCTTTTGACTCCCCTATTTGTTTTGGGGCACTTCTTTCCTTTTTGATACCACAAGATGCTCAAGGCTCATTCAATATTTGTCCCACCCTAGTCCTGGGATCAACCACGTCTCCAAGGAGCCTGGTTTGTTTTATTGGAGAATAGCATTTAGAAACCAGGATCTGGATGTCAGGTGTGCTTGTCTGATATTTGAATTTTACTTTTTGAAGAATGGAATCATTTTCATTGAGTTTTTTTGTTTCCGTGAGTTCAGTTTTTCAGTCTTCACTCGATTGCTTTTATCATTCATCTATTGTTTTAAAAGGCCTTTTTAAGAAGGCTAAATTAAGGTTAACTTGAGTTTAAAATAAACTTATCCTTTATTCTCTTATTTTTAGGGTGTTTTTACGTTTAATTCATTAATTAACTTGGAATTTATTTTTTGAATCATGTTCATTTGAAAATAATGAGAGTAATAGCAGCTAACATTTGTTGTGTGCTTACTGTCTGCTAAACATTAAATATCTTATCTATCACATCTCATTTAATGTGAGGACATTAGCTGTATCAAATAGATACTATTAATATCTTCCTTGTTTTATATATAGGATAGCAGGAGATTAAGTTTCTTTCTTTCTTTCTTTTTTTTTTTTACAGACAGAGTCTCACTTTATTGCTCTCAGTAGAGTGCTGTGGCATCACAGCTCACAGCAACCTCCAACTCCTGGGCTTAGGTGATTCTCCTGCCTCAGCCTCCTGAGTAGCTGGGATTACAGGCACCTGCGACAATGCCCGACTATTTTTTGTTGCAGTTTGGCCGGGGCTGGATTTGAACCTGCAACCCTTGGTATATGGGGCTGGTGCCCTATTCACTCGAGCCACCGCCCGAGATTAAGTTTCTTGCTCAAAGTTGCAGAGCTAGTAAGAGAGGAGGCAGGATATCAAACCATACTCTCAACTCTTGAGCTTTGCTTCTTTTAACATTTTTCTTTTCCAAGTGGTTGGTTAAGTTCCCCAGCATGGTTTGTCATTTTCTTTTAATCATCTTAATTAATTTTTGTTACACTTACTTTTTCTTCTTCCTTTCCAGATTTGCCTTAATAATTTATGTAGTTTTATCCTTTGATATAAATGTTCAAATAAGTTTATATACTATATATACATATATATGTGTATATATATATTCTGCAACCAACTTTTACTCAATATTATCTGTGTGAATTAACTTTTTTTTTTTCCTTTTTGAGAGAGAGTCTCACTCTGTCACCCTGGGTAGAGTGCCATGGCATCGTCACAGCTCACGGGAATCTCAGACTCCTGGGCTCAAGTGATCCTCTTCCTTCAGTCCCAAGTAGCTGGGACTATAAGTTCCCATCACAATACCTGGCTAATTTTTCTTTTTTTGGTAGAGACAGGGTCTCGGTCTTGGTCAGGTTGGAGAATTAACCATTTTAATGTGTGTATTATTATTCATTGGCTTCCTTTGTTTTTATTGCTGTGTAGGATTCTGTCATATGAATACACCATTTGAATTGTTTCTGTATGGTTTGAGGTTATTGCAAACAATGATTCAGTGAAGATTATTGTTAGTATCTCCTGGTGCACATGTGCAAGAATTTTTCAGAGGTATATACTTTAAGAGAATTTATGAATTTATGAATCAAAGGCATATACAATTTAATCTTTTGAGAAGAGGTGTTTGGTGACCTGCCATAGTAACCTTCAGGCTTTTTATATCAAAAATATTTATTTGTATCCTTTCTAAAAGATACAAATGATTTGTATATGTATAGTAGTAATTCCATGGATGATGCTATGAAAGGAGGAAAAAAATATTGGATGGGAATTTCAAGGTGCAAAATTATCCAAAGTGGTTTAGAACTGTTATCCTAACTCTTGTGGATGGACTTGTGATCTTATTGTTTGGCTCCTATAATTTTTATAATAGTTTTACTCAGAGCATATTCTTTCTATTTTTGCTGGGATGACCTCACCATTATCCCACATTCTATTTATCTCTTTCCAATTCTCAAGCACACACTTGATTTTATATCTCTAGTATGAAAGAGTGGTCAGTTAATAATAACATAACATATAAATGCAGCTGTGGTGGCTCATGCCTGTAATCCCAGCAGTTTGGGAGGCCAAGATGGGCAAACTGTTTGAGCTCAGGATTTCGAGATCAGCCTGAGCAAGAGTGAGACCCTGTCTCTAAAAATAGTCAGGCATTGTGGTGGATGCCCGTTGGCCCAAATACTCCAGAGGCTGAGACCAGAGAATCACTTGAGGTTGCTGTAAGCTATGACACCAGTGCACTCTACCAAGGGCAACATAGTGAAACTGTGTCTCAAAAAAAACCCCCATTTATTAAGAGTAGATTTAAAAAATCCTGCTACCAAGAAAGAAATTGATAAAGTTTAGATAAACCTTTACTGATTTGACTTCAATCAATTGATAGAATAATATGACTGGCCAAAGAGTCTTTGATCTTAGGCTGCTTTATGGGAGGCATAGTTTCCAGGAAAAGGAAGGGGATGCTTTGATTCTTCTTAGCATTAGCCAGATGACATTGAAAACTTTTTTTCATTTCTTAGGTACATGTGTTTAGAGTGATGATGATAAAAATTGGTTTGTGGCCCGAGTAGAAAGGCCAAGATGTTGAAGCTATTAAGACCATGTCTTGTTAAATGACTAGAGGCACACAGAGTATTTATCTTTGAGTAAAAGGCTTAGTGATGATATGGTAAATGGGTTCTAACGTTTGAAAGGATGCTGTGTGTTCTCTGAGGTCTTATGAGGCAAAACTATACCAAGTGAGTGAGATATAGGAAGATAGCTTCTCAAAATGAGAAAGAACTTTCTCACAATTATAGTTGTCTAAGCAGGGACTATTGGATGACCACTTGCAAGAAAGTGTCCATTTCAGCTTGAGTTCACTTTGCTAATAGGGTTTTTTTTTTTTTTTTAAATAACTTGACCAATTCTTTAAAAAAATTTTTTTTTTGCAGTTTTGGCCAGGGCCGGGCTTGAACCCACCACCCCCGATATATGCGCCCTACTTTTTGAGCCACAGGCGCTGCCCATATCTTGGCCAATTCTTAAAGACTTAAAGTAATCTAGTGTCACAAATAACTAACCTAAAAGTGACTCCCAATAGAAGCAGGTCCAGTTCAAGCCTATAGAAAGGATATTAAATACAAATGAAGAGTCTTCAGTTTTAGTAAATCTTTTAAGGTGTTTATAACTTTAAGTCTTAAATAAATATATATATATAGAGAGAGAGAGACAGAGCCTCAAGCTTTCCCCTGGGTAGAGTGCTGTGGCATCACAGCTCACAGCAACCTCCAACTCCTGGGCTCAAGCGAGTCTCCTGCCTCAGCCTCCCAAGTAGCTGGGAGCACAGGTGCCCACCACACGTCTGGCTATTTTTTGGTTGCAGTCATCATTGTTGTTTTGACGGGCCTGGGCTGAATTTGAACCCACTACCTTAGGTGTATGTGGCTGGCACCTTAGCCACTTGAGCCACAGGTGCCGAGCCAAGTCTTAAATATTATAAAAGAGATCTATTAATAACATTTATAATGCTATAAAATAGCATTATTACAGTATATGTACATTATAGTATATGTACACTTAGGGAAGATAGCTTGAATTTCTTTTTCTTTTTTTTGTCTTCTTATTTATTTATTTATTTATTTATTTTTGAGACAGAGTCTCACTATGTTACCCTTGGTAGAGTGCTGTGGCGTCACAGCTCGCAGAAACCTCAGACTCAGGCTTAAGCAGTTCTCTTGCTTCAGCCTCCCAAGTAGCTGAGACTACAGATGCCCACCACAATGCCCTGCTATCTTTTTGTTGCAGTTGTTTAGTTGGCCTGGGCTGGGTTTGAACCTGCCACCCTCGGTGTATGTGGCTGGCACCGTAACCACTGTGCTACGGGCACTGAGCCTCCTCTTCTCTTTTTTAAAGGCCTGTGTTTTTCTTTCTTTCTTTCTTTTTTATTTTTTCACTAGGCCCAGGCCGACTGATCCACAGGGCTGGTGTTCTAACCACTGAGTTAGGATGCCCAGCATGAATTTCTTGAATATATTTGCATGTTTCATAGAATTCTTATCTTTTTCTTAGAATTGGCGTGATTTGGATGCAAGAATCACCGATACAGCAAATGAATCTAAAGATAATGTCAGATATTTGTACACCCTGGAGAAAGTATGTCAGCCTCTCTATAACTATGACCTAGTAAGTATATTTCTAAAGTACAGTTAAAAAAATTGACTTATATAATTAACACATTTTAAAATAATGTAATGTCTGTATATTGGGAAAAACATGTGCTGCCAAAAGGTTATTTAAGAAATATATTTTCCTATTATGTAGTTATAATTAATTATAAATTATAATATTTACCCCACATTTAAATATATAGCTATATCATAAGTATAACTTCATTTGTGAATTAGACAATACAGATATATCACTTATATATTGCTCATAACAAATTACCCCAGAAATGAGTTTCTTAAAACAATGAACATTCATTCATCAGAGTTTCTGGGGTTCAGGAATCAAGGTGAGGTATAGCTAGGTCCCTCTGCTGCAGTGTTCCATGAGGTGGCAGACAGGCTGTTAACTGCGACTGTGGTCTCATCTAAAGGGGAGGCTGACTGAGGAAGGTCCATTTCTAAGCTCCCTCCTGTGGTAGTTGGCAGGACCTTGTCCCTAGCCACGTGGGCCTTTCCACACAGCAGCTAGCTAGCTTCCTTCATCCCTTCCTTTCTTTCCTCTCTCGCTTCTCTTCCTCTCTCTCTCTCTTTCTCCCTCCCTCCCTTCCTTCCTTCCTTCAACAGAGTCTCACTATGTCACCCTTGGTAGAGTGCTGTGGCATCACAGCTCACAGCAACTTCCAACTCTTGGGCTTAAGTGATTTCTCTTGCCTCAGCCTCCCAAGTACCTGGGACTACAGGCACCCATCACAACACCCAGTTATTTTTTTGTTGCAGTTGTCATTATTGTTTAGCAGTCCCCGGCCAGGTTGGAATCCACCAGCTTTGGTGTATGTGGCCGGCACCCTAACCACTGAGCTACAGGTGCCGAGCCCAGCTTGCTTTCCCCAGAGTGAGTAATTCAAGAGTGAGCAAGAGACAGTGCCTAAGTTGGAAGCCCACCATCGTTTTGTAACCTGATCTCAGAAGTGACAACCCATCATTTCTGGAGTGTTCTATTTGTTAGAAGTAAGTCTGTGAGTCCACGCTCAGGGCTAGCGTAAAATACAAGGATATGAATACCAGGAAGGTGAGCATTGCTGGGTCCATCTTTTAGGCTGCCTAGCCTGGTAGATATTTTTCATTGTACAGACTAGGAAACCAGAGCTCATGATGGTGCAGTGACCGTCACCATCACTCATTGAATCAGTGATGCAGGACAGAATCTATCTGCTAGTTTCTAGCCTACCTTTCTCTGTAGAGTTCTAGTAAAGAGCATATTACCACCAACATTTGCTTTTTTTTCTGAAGTTTCTTTTTTTTTTTCTTTTTGAGACTGTCTTGCTCTGTCACTCACAGTAGAGTGCAGTGACGTTATCATAGCTCACAGCAACTTCAAATTCCTGGACTGAAGCCATCCTCTTCCCCCAGCCACCCAAATAGCTGGGACTACAGGCATGTCTATCTAATTTTTCTTGGTAGAAGACAGGGTCTCACTCTTGCTCAGGCTGGTCTGGAGCTCTGACCTCAAGAAATCCTCCTGCCTCAGCTTCTCAAAGTGATGAGATTACAGGTGTGAGCCACCATACCCACCTCTAGACAGTTGAATTTTTGAAGATGTTCCTGGACTTGAGAACCCCTGATATTTTGTTCTAGGCATTGTGGTCCATGCTTCAAATATACATCTTCATTCCTTATGAATAACAACCTTTATGTTAAAGATTAGGAAACCGAGTTTGAGTATTTCTGTAGTTCACGATGGAAACAAATTTGAATCTAGCTCTTTCTAGCATTATGGGTTGTATTTTTTTTCCACTTCACTATGTTGCTTTTTCAAAGTATCCTCTAAGTTAAAGGGCTTTCAGATTAATTTGTATTAGTGTCTGATATTTTCATTCAGTTCTCCATTCTAATGTTTGGAGAGGTAGGCAGGTCTTCCACAGAAGTGGCATTGCTAGCCACATGGTTTGGTTGACCAATGTTCATGAGTAAATTTTGGTTTTGTCCTACAGGCAGGGAAAGAGTTACGACCTATATGACTTAGATTTGGGGAAGAGGGAAGTGCAGGGGTAGTTTGTACCCATCCCAAGAGAATACTGGTAGTCAAGAAGCTTAATATGGGGAGGGGAGGGGTAATGTAGGTCTAGAGTTCTGGGGCAGACTTGGTTCTTACTGCCATATGGAAGCCCATCATCCTCCAGGGAGCACCATGGGAGAGGACAAGGAGACTTTGCAGAAGTAGAGTATTTTCACTGAATCGCAAAGAATTATAAATTTCACTCTCTACTCACTTTTATCTCTCACACCAGCAACGGGGCTTCTGTGGGAACTTCTGTGAAATTTGTTTTAAATAAGAACATTTATATCACTTTTTACATGTTTTTGTGTACATGGCCGAATAAAGAATAGTGTATAGTGTTAAAGAAATAGGGCTGTTGTTTGACTCACTCAGTAGCTCAATGACTTCATTTCCCAACTTTACAACATGAGAAATTAAATCTGATGTTTAGGAAAAATTAAAATTATTATAGGTCACAAGCATTTGGGGTAACTCATAAGAGTTGAAGATGTGAATATGAAATTCACATCTACCTACAGCCTACTCTAGGACTGTCTTCAAGTAGCTCTTGATATAAAAAATAATAGGTAAAAAAAATAGATGAAGCAAATGTAGCAAAATGTTAACATTTGTCAAATCTAGTGATGGATATGGGTGATCATTATTCTATTCTCTGTACTTTTCTACATATTTAGAACTTTTCATTATAAAAGGTAAATTTGGAAGAAAGACAGAATGCTTTTCATTGCTATCAAGACTAAATTTTAAGGTATACTGATTTCAACTTGTTAGGTCAAAAGACTTGTTTAAATTCATATAATTTAAAAATCATTTCGTTCTTTTTTTTCATCCCAGTAATTTAAAAAAACTTTGTTCAATTATTCTAGCCATGGATGTGCTTTGTTATTATTAGGTTGCCACTGAACTTTTTACATTTTCTGATGCAGGAAGGTTTCAAGCATTACCTTTGAAAATGACAGAAGTACTAATAGTATTGAGTCATATAATTACTTCCCACTCATACGCCCACTGTATCTGTAGTTTCAAAAATCTTTTTTGCCCTCATTTTCTTTATTCTCATTAAAAGCAACCAGCAATTGCTGTTTAGTTTATAACTATAATTTCAGTAGGAAAAATACAGAGGACTCATGCTTCCATTTCTGGTTAATAACCTTTACGTATGTTTCATTTTCTTTTCATCCTCGTATTGTGCTGTGGATGTATCTACGAGTATATGTTTCACATATAAAATGTCTGAACACATATAAAAAAATAAAAAAATGTCTGAATACAGTAGATTGTTAGACAAGAACTGTGCACTCAAGGAGCCACTGCTATAAGTAACAATGTTTAAAATTTTGATGAAGGGCATTTTCCTGAAGGAGCTATTTAATACCATTCCTAAGCCATCTTTATTAGAATTAGGCGTTTTTGGAGACTTGACTTAGCAAGGGTAAAAGGGACTCCTTCTAATCATGTTTTTATTAGGATCTTTTTGATGTACAGATAACATATATAGTATGAATTCTTACACGTAGATTAACTTTAAAATAATGATGTCAATTTACATAAGCCACATAAAATGGATTTAATTATTTCATAGTTACACCTCATAGGTAGGATAGGTAACAGACTAATCAATGGTTTGTCTTGGTTTTATTTATTCTATCACCATTTAACAAGTCTTTTTGTGTATTTTTGTCTTGTTCTGTCAGTTCAAAGGCAAGGTCCTTGAAGGAAGTGGCGGGGGAGGAGGGGCCCTTGACCTTATCTGTTTCTCCATAGTGGTTTGCATCACTGTTACAAGCAGGGTCTCAAAGTCTCCGCTGTACAACTTACAACTGTGGGGCCTTGAGCAAGTCACTTAAAATCTCTACTTTTTTCTTTTCTCATTTGCAAAATCAGAATAATAATAATACTTTTTATAGATTCTAAGACATACATTTTTGCACATATTAACATCTTGGAACTCAGGACATACTTTGTAGTCAATCAAGTTTTATAGGGCGGCGCCTATGGCTCAAAGGAGTAGGGCGCCGGCCCCATATGCCAGAGGTGGCAGATTCAGGCCCAGCCCCAGCCAACAACTGCAAACAAAACAAAACAAAGTTTTATCAATCATTGTGGAAGTGATTTGATACCATCTTAAAGGATGAATTCTCTCCTTGAGGGTGTTTTTGTTTTGGGTTTTTTTTTTTTTTTTTAGTTAGTTTGTTTTTTGGTACCATTAGTGTGAATTCTGATTACAGTTGAGTACCAGCTTGTAATGTACTGATTCTCAAGGGAGTTGATTTTCTCTCCTTCCCCTGGTAGCGTGTAAGTTTTGGTTCTCTCTTTTTCTCCATGGCTGGTTTATTTCCTGTTTACCTTAACAGAGAGGGCTTAGCCATTTGGAAATTAAACTCTTCATCTTGGGTGGGTTTTTTCTTTCTCAGTAGCATGCAAAATAATGGTGCAGTCTTGCAATCAGGGATGTTTGGGATGTGATGAAATCAAGCCTGCCTGAAATGGTGGTTGTCAGCATAGCTTAGGACACTACCTAGGGCGCTTAGTCTAGCGCCTGGCACAGGGTAAGCATTTAATACTTGTTAGGGACTGTTTTCTATCTTTGTTGTACTTGTTCTGCTTTGTCCTCTTTGCTGTATGTGTTTTCCTTGTTTGTACTTGTCTCTTTGGCTCTGCTGTGAGCTCCTCATAAATTCTTACCTTTGGATTTTTCCCAATATCTTCAGAATGTTAGAATATTTGGAAAGTTTGCTGAAAGGTAAACTGAGTTGCATAAGAGAGAATGAGTTCTAGTCACTCTCTTGTTTTTCACTGGCTTTCTGACCACAACTAAGATACTTTACCCCTCATGGGGTCAGTTTTTTCATCTTTCACAAGAGCAGATTAAACTTTTACCCTTTAAAGTTCCTTTCATCTCTATAATTTTGTTTTTAAATAACTTTTGAGTTTGAACCCTGCATGATGGCTCACACTTGTAATCCTAGCACTTTGGGAAGCTGAGGAGAGAGGATTGCTTGAGCTAGGAGATTGAGACCAGCCTGGGCAAGAGTGAGACTCCATCTCTACTAAAAATAGAAAAAAGAAATTAGCTGGGCCTTGTGGCAGGCACCTGTGGTCCCTGAAGCAAGAGCATCTCTTGAGCCCGAGTTTAAAGTTGCTGTGAGCTGTGACAACGCCAAGGCACTCTACCTAGGGCAACAAAATAAGAATCTATCAAAATAAAATAATAAAATAAATGAAATACTTTTAAGCTTGGATTTACAGAAAAGTTGCAGTGATAGTACAGAATTATCTTCACCCAGTTTCTCCTGTCAACCTCTTGCATTATGTTGGTATGTTTGTCAAAACTAATGGCCTGTTTTCTGTTCCAGGATCTAGACTAGGGATACCAGGTTGCATTTAGCAAATTTGACTTTCAGGTGAAATGTATACTATATTGTGTATGTTTAGAGTTGCAAATATTAGGGACTACTGGTTATTAAAACTATAAACATATGAGGGAATTCACTTAATATATTTCAATTTTAGGTTTCCATGGCACATGGAATACAAAATTTGATTAATGCCATCAGAATGATTCACGGTGTGTCAAGGTATTATAACACCTCCGAGAGAATGACTTCATTGTTTATCAAGGTAAGTTTCTAAGGGAGGAAATCACACAAACGATCCTGTGAAAAAGTTAACTGTTTCCCTCTGAGTCTGGGAAGGAAATTGGGAAATCTGAGTGCCTCTCAGAGTTGTGGATTTTAATCCTTCCAGTGGACAATAAAAGAATGGTATTGACTTGAAGGCAGTTGTACTTAATTGATGGAGTAATCGGTACCTTTCTTCTTGTCAGAGGTAAGCTCTAAGACTTAAAAAAAAGGTACTCGGCGGTTTGCTCATTCCCTCATTCCCTGTGGTTTTCACCCTACTCACAAGAGAAGGATTGTGTTCCCGGTTATCAGTGCTTCTCCAGCTATTCCCACCAGCCCTACGGTTTGTGTAACATCCTCCCGTGTATCATCATATAGCTAACTATTTTAAATACTTTGAAAAATTATCCAAGAAACACATGAATAGAATTTCTTTGTAAGTGATTCCAGCAGAACTAAATATGTAAAGTCACAGTCACATTTCAACTGTTTTAACAAGCCAAGTATAGATTTCATCATTCTCTATGTCCTAAGACAAGAATCTCAGACATGAGGAGTCTTCCTTTACACTCGTCTCCCTTGTTCATTGAGATGAGTTTTAGCTCCAAGGAGGATTCTTTGCTTGACCAAACTTCAGTCAGGGTTCTGAATCTTCTGCTAGGTCTCTCTGTGCACTTCCTTGTAAAATCTAGTTCTAGCAAAGAACCTGCTAAATCCGTTTTGCAAGAACCCCCATCTAATCACCCTTGATGTCTGATCAGATTCTCCATCCTCCACTCCCCCAAGGTGATTTCTGATGATCCTGACTTGTCTTCAGTAAGAATCCTGTTAGGTCAGCTTTGCCAAAATCCCACCTAACCCCTGATGTTTCCTCTTAGTGATTTCCCCTCTGCTGATCCCTCAGCTGCTTCTTGGCTATAAATTTCCACTTGTTCGTGCTGTGCTTGGAGTTGAGCCCACTCTCTCTTCCCCACTGCCGTGGTCTCTTGTGTGTGTACCTACCATAATGGTCCTGATTCAAGACTTCCTTAACATGCAAGTAACCCTGAATACTTTTTTCTTTAACAGTTCATTGTTATTATTAACATTTCCTCAATATTATGAGGCAACAGGTATTCAGACTAAAGTCAATCTAAGTATTGCTGGTTTCTTTGATCACCACTGTTTTGTGATTTCTTCATCTTCCTTCTTAAGTTCCTCATTTCTTTTGGTGAAAAAAATCCTCAAGTGATTTTTTTCAGAGAGATCCTGTGGGGGATGAAATTCTTGAATTCCTAGGTGTCTAAAAATGCTTTAGTTTTCAAATCACTCAAATGCCAGTTTGATTTTAAGTTCAACATCATTTCTCCTAGAACTTTGAAGATATTGCTCAATCATTGTCTAATATCCAATACTGTTGATGAAAAGATTGGTGCCAATATGATTCCTTTTTCTCCTCTCAAGAAGCTTTTAGGATTTTTTCTTTATCCTTGAACTTGTAAAATTTCAAATTGATGTGGTCTTGTTCTATACTTGCTGGATTGTCTCAATCCAAAGAATTTCCCTTCTGTTGATTCCTGGGAAACATTATGCCTCTTTTGCCTTTGATTATTTCTTTGTTTTTAATTTTTTTGAGACAGAGTCTCACTCAGTTGCCCTGGGATTGAGTGCAGTGGTATCAGAGCTCACAGTAACCTCCAACTCTAGCGCTCAAGTGATCCTCTTGTCTCAGCCTCCCTAGTAGCTGGGACAACAGATGCCCACCACAACACCTGGCTATTTTTTTTAGAGACAGGGTCTCGCTCTTGCTCAGGCTCGTCTCTAACCCGTGGGCTCCAGTGATCCACCTGCTCTGGCCTCCCAGAGTGGCCTTTGATTATTTCTAACTCACCTGTTAAATTTATTCTCTCTCCTTGAATCTGGCTCCCATTTCTCTTATTTTTTTTTCCATCTTTGTTTTTGACTTTCCAACTTACTCATTGGCTCTTCATGTGCCAATTGCTGGTCAGTTCATCAGAATTCTTTAGTAGTTTTCTTTTTATGGTTATAAATTTTCTCATGTATTAATTTAGCTAAAAAATACTTTACATTTACCTCTTCTATGTTTCTTCTCTTTGTTAAGTTTAATGACTCTGTTCTTGTGTTTGTTTTCCTCTATTGTTTGGTGATTCTTGGTTGTCCCTATAGAGGTGAAGGGGAAAATTCCCCTCCACCCTTTAAAGGTTCACTGAAAATGAACTGACAAAAGACAGATTAATAAGAGAAAAAGGCATTTAGGGCTTTTTTTGTTTTTATTTTGTTTTTCTAGGATGGGGTCTCATCTCACTGTAGCCTTGAACTCTTGGGTTCAAATGATCTTCCTGCCTTAGCCTTCTAAGGTGCTGATATTATAGGTATGAGCCACCATGACTGGCCAGGCATGCAAAATTTATTTATGTGCATAGCATGGGGGAAGTGAAGGAGAGGTCCAGATGCTTTTTAATAGGGGGGAAAATGAAAGATGTAGAAATTTTGAGAGTTAGTAAATGATTTTTAGGGGAAAAAATGGACCCAGGAGACAGAAATGAACTTGTAAATGATTGATTCTCTTTGAGATCTGAGTGCACCTGAGAGGTAGACATTATCTTGTGAAAAAGTCCATCTCAGTGTGGTTGAATTCTTCAGTCTTCTTTTCTTAGGCAGATAATGAGATTTCAGGGAGGGAGTGTAAGGCGATTGTGTTCTTTGGTGAGTCCAGTCTTCAGGTAGATAAGGAACCTTCAGAGAGCAGCTTCATCCTGTGCTTTGGGAGAGGCATAGGATTAAGAAGAGACTGGAGTAGTGGAGGAAGGTAAGCGAGACCTTGAGGCTGCTTCTTTAATTCAGCATGTCAGAGTGCTACATTTTGCGGTGTCATTCTCTGAGCCCCCAAATCTGCCCATCTTTTTGAGACTCCCCATTTCTGTCTCATTCTGTTCACTATAGTTTTTCTCTTCTAAAGTGGAGATGCGTGACCTATTGCTGAGAGGGGAGTATGGGTAGGTTTTTCTCTAATGTGTCCTCTTGGGGTACAGTAGCTCCCTGGGGCATGGCCATCCCTCTTTGAGACTGTGGTACAAACCCATGGCTTTTTCCTTTTCAGCAAAGGTCTCTATTGCCTATTGCCTGCTGTATGAATTGCTCGAAATTCAGTGTGCAGGATCACAGCCAGGGGTCACTTCACATTGTCTCTCATGTTGAAATTTTCTAGAACTGTTTCAGCTCCAAGAGCAGTCTTTGTCAGAACTAGGTTTTGATTTTCTCTAGTCATTTCTTTCTCTGTAGATCTGACACTGTGACACTATATGCATTCTATATTATAGGAATATCTTAAAGTTCTGTGTCAGCCTACCATTTTGATCTTATGTCCTGACCATTTCCAAATGGCCATCTTGTTTTTTCTTCACTGAGAGGTGGTTGCATTTATGTTTAGTTTGAAGGAAGGTAGAGAATCCCATTTGAAGTGGATAAAGGCCTAATTAGAGGAGGGATGGACAAGTGGAAAATATAGTTGATTTTGAAATTTATTGCCCTAGTGATGTTGACGTAAATGTGGAGGTAAATGTGATTTGAGGTTTTCTTTGTTTTGTCTAAAACATTTGTTTTCTTATATCCTGTGATTCATTCACTTCATAAGTATATTATTTATCATAGTTTTTTGCTTGAATTTTATTTTGCTTTTTTTGCCTAGAGTTATTTTTTACCTGTATTTACTTTAGGTAACAAACCAAATGGTGACAGCATGTAAAGCATATATTACTGATGGAGGATTAAGCCATGTATGGGATCAGGATACACCAGCTGTGCTAAAGAAAATTCAGGTTCGTATAAGTAATTTTCATAAAACAAAGCTTTTACCATCCTGCTCAATTTTGTTCACTTTGTTCATTCACATAACATGTTAGCAGAAAATACCTTGCACAGAGTAGTGTGAGAATATAAAAACAATGTAATTCATATTAGCTACTTCCCTTGATTTTAATGCTTCTTTTAGGGTGTAATTTATGCCTCATCATCTCCATGGCTACCTATATCAGACACCTCTTGTGTGAAATTTCATATACTTTGGCTCCCACCTCTCACTCCAACTCCAGTTAATTTAATCTTTCATTTTCTTTTTTTTGCATTGACTAAGACTGCCATTCATCCTTAAATAGATGTAGCGGTGTAGGTGGCATCCTAGTTTTGATCCTTTCTTAGAAGAGAATGTTTTTAACATTTCCTCCATTTAGTCTGAACTTTTGTAGGTTTTTAATATATCTTTGATCAGATTAGTTTAGTACTAAAAGATGTTTTTTGAAGTTATGAATGGGCCTTGGAATTTTTTTGGGCGCATCTATTTATTGAGATCCTTACAGAATTTTCCTCCTCAATCTGTTACTGTGATGAATGTCATTTTAGGGTTTATAAAATTAAACTATCTCCACATTGCTGAGATAAACTTAACTGAATCATGGCGTAATTATCTTTTTTTAGACACTCTTAAGTTCCACTTGCTACAGTTTTGTTTATTGTTCTTGGAAACTGTGGTGATGAGAGAGACAGCCGACACTGTTCCTTTCTTATATTGACCTTGTTGGAGGTTTTGGCGCTAAGATCTCAGAATAAGTGAGGGGTAAGGTAGGATTTTTTTGAAATGGTGTATAAAGTTAAAGTGATCTGTTTTTTGAAATCTGAGAGAAATGGCTGTGGCAAGAAGGCTCCATTTGGAAGCGGTTATTATTGGTGGTCTCCATGCACAGGTCCCTGGTCTTCATAGAGCCAAGAAGCGCTGCTTGAACAGGGCAGTCTTGTTGGAGAGGACACTCAGTGCCCTCACCCAGGGCAGTACCATCATCCTCATGCTGACCTCTGAACTGGAAGATAGATAGATGAAGAATTGCAGTTAGGACAGATTCTCAGGCTGAAAACAGTTGATCTAAGAACAGGAAGACCCAAGATCATTAGGCAGTTCTTGGACTTGGCCATGTAGGACACAAAACTACACAGAAATGGATCAAAGCAGCTTATAAAGCAGCATTTTATAGCGTGATGGAAAGCACCTGGTGAGCCAATGAGAGGAGCCGATAGTGACCACTGCACTTGCAGAACTAAAGTTTGTAAAATGCACGATTGAGCGGGAAGAGAAGCATTTACAGGATAGCACCTAGGGTCAATAACTCAGTTCTTTCTAAAAGTAAGGCAAGGGACAGTTTCTTTTAAGTGTTTTCCCCAGTGTTTAAAAGGGATTCAAATTAAAAAAAGAAAGTTTCTAAACTAGATTTTATGAATTCATCGTCTTGTTCCCCTTGGCATAATTTTTATTCTTAGAGGGAATTTTCTTATTTAAATGCAGAAGAAAAATAAGCAGAATGTCATGATGAGAGGAGAGGAATGGAAAAGCTGAACCGAGTGAGAGGGCACAAAGAAAAAAAAAGACACGAATAAGAACATTAGTTGATAATTCAGATTAACTGTGATGCAAGCATAGAAAAATTCAAAGAAGAGAAAGCCAAGGAAGAAGAAGAGAAGAAAGCAAGAGCAAAAGCAAACAGAAGAAGCAAGAAGCTAAAACCAAAACCAAAACACAAACAAACAACAACCCCCCCACCCCCAGCCCCAAACCAGGCAGAGCTAGAAGCTTCTTGGATAGCTGAGGAGAAAGAAGAGGAAGTTAGCCAGCAGCCATCATGACTGGCAAAGAAGGAAAAAAAAAAGAGCCATTCAAGGGGAAATGCAAAAACTTTGAAACTCAGGTAAGACCTGGAATCGCTCTTCTAACAATGAGAAGATCAGGTTCATTTGATAGAAGAAGTGGAAAAGCTCTGTGATAAGCCCAGACAGCACGTGTACAATGCCTGAACTAAACACTCACTTCTACAAAAGCAGCAGGAACGGCTGTTCTAGCACAAACAGATGCTAGAAGAAATAAATAGGCAAACTATGAAAGAGAAAGAAAGCTGGGGCGTGTACATAACAAGCTTCTAAGCAATGGGAGGAATCAACTCTCCAAGGTGGAAACCGCAGTGAAAACTGGTCAGAAGTGGATTGGTCTGTAGGTGCTAATTAAAATGGGTGAGCTGTTTTTTTCTGCTGGAACAAATTCAAGATGGGAAGTTAATAATAATACATGTTTCTTCTGGAGTCTAGGGAACTTGCTGGCAAAGAAAAGAGTCTCTAAAAACTTGACCCTTATGAAAAAGATGACAAACAAAAAGGATTTGGGTGATTTTAGAAAGAATGTGGCATAGGGCCTCCTTCAAACACACATGAAAGATGGTGGATGGCTCAGTGCCTGTGGCTTAAGTGGCTAAGGCGCCAGCCACATACACCTAGGGCGGCAGGTTCCAATCCAGCCCGGCTCGCCAAACAACAATGATGGCTACAACCAAAATAAATAGCCGGGCGTTGTGGCAGGCGCCTGTGGTTCCACTACTTGGGAGGCAGAGGCAGGAGACTTGCGTGAGCCCAGGAGTTGGAGGCTGTGAGCTGTGATGCCACAGCATTCTACCAAGGGGACAGCTTGAGGCTTTGTCTCAAAAAAAAAAAAAAAAGAAAAAGAAAAAGAAAAGGAAGATGGTGGAAGCCTAGCAGAAGCAGTACTTGGCAGGACAGAAAAGGACTGTAGGAAACAATTGAAGGAACTTGTCGAGATGGTCAAGGCAGTGAAATGGTCCAGAGCAATTGCTGAAGGCAAGTAGAGCCAGAAATGACTTGGCTGTACTTGCTGTGAGTATTTTAGAAATGAAAGGCAGTCACATCTTTTGTATTTACCTGGGTGGAGGCGAAGAACATTCTTCTTAGTAAAGTATCTCAGGAATGGAAAAACAAACATCCCATGTTCTCAATACTAATTTGAAACTGGTAGATGAACAACTACAGGCCTGCAGTGAGGAAAAACAATTAAATTCAAGAAGAGGGTGGGGGGGGGGATAAGGGAGAACAGTTTCAATTCAGCCCCCACCTGAGAGTGTTAAAATTAAAAGTGGGAGCCCCTGGGCCTGGCCTTCACAATTCTGTCAATATCCTTAAGATTATTACCCATTTATTGACTGAATTAGAAATGAGAGCTTAGTTTTCTGAATTCTAGCTCAATGTAGTTTCTTTTATATCTGAATTTTTTTAGGAAACTTTCATTGTATAGTTTTTAAGAATGTTTTTCTTTTTCTTTCTTTCTTTCTTTGTTTTATTTGGAGACAGAGTTTTACTATGTTGCCCTTGGTAGAGTGCCATGGTGTCATAGCTCACAGCAACCTCAAAGTCTTGGGCTTAAGTGATTCTCTTGCCTCAGCCTCCCAAGCAGCTGGGATTATAGGCACCTGCCACAACACCCGGCTATGTTTTTGTTGTGGTTGTTGTTGTTTGGCAGGCCAGGGCCAGGTTCAAACTGGCCAACCCTGGTGTATGTGGCTGGTGCCCTAGCAGCTGAGCTTCAGGCCCCGAGCCTAGGAATGGTTTTCAGAGGAGTGGGAGGAGACAATGAGAACAATTGTTATTTAGGACCTCATCTGTCCCACATGAAGAGATTGGTTGGTAAAAAGGAAGTAAAGGAGTGTGATTCCCAGTAGAGGGTATATTCCATGTGTGTAGGGATCTGATCTGTGTTTCCTACATCTCGAGGTGTTCCTAACCCACAGTAGGAACCAACAAACTTGTTGAATTGAGTGAAAAATAGTCAGGGACATTGACGAGAGCAGTGATACTGTGTTGAATGTTGATAGAGGAGGGAATAAGATTGGTCATTCTCCAATCTGAATATTTATAGGAATCACTTTGGAAACTAGTTAAAAATATAGATTTCTGAGTCCTACTCACAGACATTCTGATTTAGTCATTGTGGTAGGCAGAATGATGCCCCCCCAGATGTCCATGTCCTTATTCTCAGAATCCGTCCATATATTATGTTACATATGGCAAGATGTAATTAAGATCACAGATGGATGCTAACCAGCTGGTATGAGGCTTCTACAAGTGGAGAAGAAGGAGGCAGGAGAATCAGAACCATAGAGTTGACATTACCATGAAGATTTGTTGGCTATTGATGACTTTGAAAAAGTTTAACATTGGAAAGAATCGTTTGGTTTTTAGGAGATGTAAGCTTGCCATGACAGTTAATTCCGACTGGACTCTAGCAACAGATCCTTTCTTTATTTCTAAAAGGCTAACTAGCAATGGGATAGCTGTACTCAAACATTAGGATTTCAGCAATCCCCTCGTCAAAGACTTTATGATCTCCTTTTGGAGGTGTGACAAATTCATCTTCATGTTTAATATACCTGTACATAAAGAATGCTGATTAAGAGATGAATACCAACTGAATAGAGACGTATTGATAGATAACTGCTGGACTTCTTGGGAATTCTATATAATTAGTCATGAAAATGTAAAAACAAATCATATGTATCATAACTTGATATAGAATTAGAGTTAAGGGAAAATAGTTGAGGATGAAGAAGATGAAGCCATGATGTAAATTTAAAAAGCTATATTGATTTTTGCAGGCCTTTAATATGTAGGCAGAGAACTCGAATTTTTGTCATTAACAGCAAAGGCCCCTGATGAGGGTCGGTGGGGGTCAGTTTTACGTGAGGGCAGAAGTTTTGAATTTTCGGTTCCTGAACAGATGAATCACTTTCCTTCCTCTGCTTCTTTTACTTTTCTCATAGGATTGCATTTTTCTATTCAAGGAATACCAGGCATCTTTTCACAAAACAAAGAAACAGATTTTAGAATCCTCAGGGGAAAAATCTTTTGAAGTTTCAGAAATGTATATATTTGGAAAATTTGAAGCTTTCTGTAAAAGGCTGGAAAAGGTAAGCATTATGCAGTCACAGCACCCCACCCCAAACTGCACCCTTTTGCTTCTTATGTGCTTTACGTAGTGCTGTTAAGATTTATTGTTCCTGATCTCTTTTTTCGCTATTGTTACAACTCTCCTGATACCACTTAAAGATCACTACTTTTTATTACAACTTACTTTTCCATTCTTGGTTACTGCCTTCTGCCACACAAAAGCTATTGCAAACTTTCACCTCTTGCAAGACCTCCGTTCTACCTCCAACAATGGCACTTGGCTTAAAATCCTCTGCTCTTCACCGTTATATAAGGCTGAGAAAAGGATGAGATGAAACACCTGTTCTGCCTAGAAGAACTTAGCAGCTGTGGGGTATCTGGATGTCTGGGCATCTCCTCTTTCGGGGCCAGTGGATATGGTGTATGTGTAAGCATCGTGTGGATGGTGCTTTTGCTGGGAAGATATGGGTTAGAAACTTCACCTTTGATTTGCTTATTAAGACTGGCTGGGGAGGAGTGATATTTTATAGGGGATATAGGGCAGCCCCTACCAGAGATTTCTCAGAATCAGCCTTCGAAATGTCTGTAAATGTCTGGGTACCACCCCTCCCACACTTTGTCACCTCCCTAGGCCCTGCTAGTTATTTAGGGTCCTGTCCATCATTTGTTGGAAGGTAGAAGGACATTACATAGATGGAAGTGCATTTCCTAGACATGTCTGGACGCCTATTTTTTTATTTGTGAGCCCCTCATGTAGCCAGTGCAGGAAAGGATGGGCGATGAAGGGAACCAGGCTACCGAGTGGAGTCATTTGCACATACTTCTTTGAGCCCTGAGCCCATGTTTTAGTTTATTTAATAACTTTATTGAAATAGAATTCAATTATACCACATTTACTCATTAAAATGTACAAGTCAGTGTTATCTGGCAAATTCATAGGGCTGTGCAACCATTAACAACAAAACCCTATATCCAGTAGCAGTCACATCCCATTCTCTCTTCTACCCAGCCTTCAGCAACCACTGATCTACCTTCTTTCTTTTCTTTTCCTTTTTTTGAGACAGAGTCTCACTCTGTTGCCCTGACTAGAGTGCCATGGGATTATCGCAGCTCACAGCAAGCTCAAACTCTTGGGTTTAAGTGATCCTCCTGCCTCGGCCTCCCTAACATCTGGGACTACAGCTGCTTACCACAATGCCCAGCTAATTTTTCTATTTTTAATGGAGACGTGGTCTTACCCTTGCTCAGGTTGGTCTGGAACTCCTGAGCTCAAGTGATCCTCCGACCTCGGCCTCCCTGAGTGCTGGGATTACAAGCGTGAGCCACCCACTCACCTAGTTTCTATCTCTGTGCCTATTCTGGACATCTTACATAAATACAGTCATGCAATATGCGGTCTTTTGTCACTGGCTTCTTTGACTTAGCATAATCTTTTCAAAGTTCATCTATGTTACAGCATTTTTCAGTGCTTCATTCCTTTTCATGGCTCAATAATATTTCATTATATGGATAATGCCACATTTTATTTATCCACTCATCAGTTGATGGACATTTGGGTTGTTTCCTCTTCTTGGATATAATGATAGTATGTTTATGAACATCAGTATATATGTTTTTGTGTTGACATATTGTCATTTATCCTAGTTATATACGTAGAATTGGAATTGCTGGTATGGTAAATATTTAACTTTTTGAAGAACTGCCGAACTATTTTTCAAAGTAGCTGCATTATTTCATTATATATTATAACCAGTGAAGTACAAGGGTTATTAATTTCTTCACATCCTTGCCTGAACTTGTTATTATCTGTCCTTTCAGATACTACACTTGATCTTAGCCAAAAGGCTGAGAAGTGGTTATTATCTGTCCTTTTGGATTAAGCCATCCTAGTGGGTGTGGAGTAGGATCACTTGAGGTTTTGATTTGCATTTCCCTGACGACTAATGATGTCGAGCATCTTTTCACGTGCTTACCATCCATTAGTATTTCTTTGGAGAAATGTCAGTTCAAATCCTTTTCATACATTTTAATTGAATTATTTGTCTTTTCATTGTTGAATTGTAAAAGTTCTTTGTATATCCTGCATGTTCTTTGTCAGATAGATGATTTACGGATGTTTTCTGTCATTCTGTGGGTTGTCTTTCAACTTTCTTGATGTGTCTTTTGAAATACTGTAGTTTGTAATTTCAATCAAGCCCACTTTATCAAGTTTTTCTTTTGCTTGTGCTTTTAGTGTAATATCTAAGAAGTAGTTGTATAGGGCTATTTTATGAGCAGTAAGGATGGTTTTGGAGCCAGTGTTCAATTAAAAAGATGTTAGCATGGGTCAAATTAATAAACAGGTCTCAGTGGTCAGGACTGTTCCTTAAAGATGTGTAATGTCTTTGAATCCACTAGAGTATACACTTGGGCTGGGTCTTGCTTACCCTTAATTTTTCCAGGAACCAGAAACCTTACCAACTTGGGTGCAGTTTTGAGCTTGGTAGTTTTAGGGCTAGACCAGTGGTTTTCAACCTTCTGAATGCTGCAGCCCTTTAATACACTTCCTGTGGGTCACAATCCACAGGTTGAGAGCTGCTGGGTTAGACTTTAATGGCCCATTAACAATGAAGATCTTTGGTGGCAGGTCTAATGCTGGGAAGAATGGGCATCCATGTATGAAATAGCGGCTTGGCCATTTCTCTGATGCTAGAGGGAGTGGGCATCCACTAGCCAGCTCCATTAGCCACACCCATCCTGATCTCTGGGGAAGCCCTGCCTCTTGTCTTTTAGAATATAACTTCAAGCCACAAGGGTTCAGCAACCAGAGCTAATGTAGCAGCACTCTTACCCTGCCCCACACCCTAATTGAAGTGCATCCTGATTGCTAGGTTATCCCAGTTCACCTACACTAAGAACTCTGAGACTGGCTGGGGATAATTGCTGGATATTGATATCTAGACTGTCAAAGGTGAGGCTATCCATTTAACCCTGAAGTGTGGCCAGGATTTTGCATAATCAATTCAAAGTGGTTGCTGAGCTGCCTGGATGGGTATCCTCTGATGAGTTGGGGACAGTAGGGGCCATTGTAGGACTACCCCTGTGAACTCTTAAATAAGTGAAGAGGAGAGCCAGAAGGGCAAACTAAGTCAGAGCCCAGTAGGAAAAGCTGAGAATCAGCATCAGAATGACCCAGTGGCAAAGTCAAACTACAGACAAGACTGAGGTCTGGTTGGAGAGCTGAAACCTCAGAGGTGGACAAAGATGTTGAGGATCTTTAAGGAACAAATGAAGAAGGTTCTAGTATGTCAGTATCAGGGTGCTGAAACACACCCTTTTTGGTAGGCGGAGACTTGCCATGCACTGAATGTTTATCTTGGAGAGCCAGAATAAAGTATGTACCATAGTCTTTCCTGCTTTCTCTTCCTGCCATGCATTTTGAGGAATATTGTTTCCCAGGGCTGTATGTTTAGATTTGTTTTCTTCTCACCCTGAACATTTGTGGGGAGCTGGTATGCTGGGGAAGATTTGGAAACTGGAGCAGGTAGGTGAGGTAGGGTCTTTCCTCATGGTGACACTGAGATGAGGGACTCAGAGAAAGTTGAGAACTAGAAAGAGTGCTAAGGTGGGGGAGCCAGAGAGGGGATTATAAATGGTTGTCAATACAGAGAATTGACAAAATAGCCAAGACCAAAGCAAACCAGCAGGAGCATGGTCATGGTCACGGTCATGGCTGATCCCCACAACTGGCTTTTATGGTGCTGCAATGTGGTATGGGGGTCTACACTGGCTACATGTAGAGGGTCAATTTAGAGACAGACAACCATTCCTGTCTCAGATGACCCCTCATCTAACCCGTGGGCAAATAGAGGATGTGTTAGGGATCAAAATTCTGCCCCAGTCTCTGGCTGTTGGAGCCAGGTGATAGGATAAGGGGTACAGGGTAAAGGACAGAGTCTTAGCTTGCTAGAAAAGCAGAGTGAGCTGGCAGTAGTATGTTTTTGTTCTTTAATGAAGACCAATGGAGTGCATGTATTAGGGGGAGACTCGGATACTTCTCTTACACAGAGCACATAAAGCACACTGTAAATCCCGGTGGCCTATATGTTCTCCAGGTTTAGGGGGCTTTGGGGATCACACTGGTTTTTAGAAGTGTGTAGAAATAGTGGAAGAAGAGCAGCAGTTGCTCTGAAACAGTTTTTTCTGGTTGACACACACAGGGACCATGTGAATTCTGCTGGCTGTGTAGGGGAACATGCAGTGCTATCTTCATGGTGTGTGATACTCGGAAGATGCCCTGAAACAGGTTTATTCCATTTCTGGCCATTGGACAAATGGATAGGCCCTGGAGAGCTAAGGACATTGTTCTCTAAAGCAGGAATAAAACTGGGGCCTCACTGATGAAGATCAAGGAATTAAGTAGCCTGTGGACATAGATTTTTTTTTTATTCTGTAAAGTAGATGGGGTTTGGTAAAGTAGGCTGCCAGTTCTGAAATTAAAAGTATTGTGAGGGCTTCTTAGGGCTCTTTGGGGGTCAGGAGTGAATACTATCATCCTTCAGGCTTCTTGGGTTGGTTCATTCTCTCTGTGGTCCCCAGCCCCTGGGCCGTGGTCTGTGGCCTGTTACGAGGGAGGTGAGCAGTGGGAGAGCCTAGTGAAGCTTCCTCTGTGTTTACAGCTTCTCCCCATCGCTCACTTCACTGCCTGAGCTCATCCTCCTGTCACATTGGTGACAGCATTAGATTCCTATAGCGTGAACCCTGACACAAACCATGCATGGAAGAGATCTAGGTTGTACGCTCTTTATGAGACCCTAATGGCTGATGATCTGAGGTGGAGCTGAGGATCTGAGGTGGAGCTGAGGAGGTGATGCTAGCACCGGGGAGAGGCTGTGAATACAGATCATCACTAGCACAGAGGTTTGACTGCACAGAGACCATAATAAGTCAATTACTTAAAGACTCATATCAAGACTATGCCCCCCTCAGTCTGTGGAAGAATCATCTTCTTTGAAACCAGTTCCTCGTGCCAGAAAGGTTGGGGACCACTGCTTTATCTGAACACAGGAGTCAAAGGGAGAACACAGGTGGATTCATGCTAATGTCACATATCATAGCTGTGGTGGGAGACAGCAAGAGTGGTAGAGATTTTAAATCCAGTGATTCAGTGAAATGATCTCCAGAGAACTCTCAAGAACGAACAGATAAAACTATTTAGTCATGTTGTCTCTGCCCTTTCCTCTTGAAAGTCAGGGTGATTAATTTCTGAAAAATGTAATCTCTCTCTGGATATGATAGAACATTATCTGTTTTAGATAGTCTACAAGTATTGTCTTTCATTTTTTTCTTCTCTGCTTGGTTTTAGCTAAAGGATTTAGTGGTTATTTATTGGTTTATTTTTTATTTTTATTTATTTATTTTGGAGACAGAGCCCTCAAGCTGTCACCCTAGGTAGAGTGCCGTGGCATCACAGCTCACAGCAACCTCCAATTCCTGGGCTCAAGCGAGTGTCTCCTGCCTCAGCCTCCCAAGTAGCTGGGACCACAGGCGCCTGCCACATTGCCAGGCTATTTTTTGGTTGCAGCCGTCATTGTTGTTTTGGCGGGCCTAGGCTGGATTTGAACCCGCCACCCCAGGTATATGTGGCTGGCGCCTTAGCCACTTGAGCCATAGGCGCTGAGCCAGTTTGTTTTTTTAATGATTTGTTAAGAGTTTATTCTAGGAAAGGGACTTCATATCTCATTAAAAAAATAAAATAACCGTTTTATTTTTAAGATTACAGAAATGATAACTGTTGTGCAAACATATTCAGCTTTGAGTAATTCTACCATAGAAGGAATAGATATTATGGCAATAAAATTCAAGAATATTTATCAAGGAGTTAAGAAAAAGCAGTATGATATTCTGGATCCAAGAAGAACAGAATTTGATCACGATTTCTTGGACTTCATGTCAAAAATCAATGCTTTAGAGGTAAATAATTAAACATGCTTTTACTTAGTAAAGCTGAAAAGTAATCAGTTGTCCTATCCAGTACTGTTCTAAATATTCACATGTAATAAATATTCATATGTTTACTATTTTAAACACATATTGCAACTTAGTGAAAAATATTGGCAGTATAAGTAATTTTCAAACCCGTAAATAGAATATTTTCTTTTTCTTTTAAATGAAAACTGAGCACATCTAATAAAAGATCTCAGCATAATTAGAATCTCAAAGAGCTATTGTAGTGAGCGTTCATTTTAAATTTACATTAACATTTGTATTCTTGTGCCAAAGAGCCAAGAGAGAATTTGTCATTCTTTTTCTTAAGTGTGAAAAGATTTGAGAACAGATGAGGAAGATGGAGCACTCTCCCTGTGGCTCTGTGCTTCCCACTGCATCCTCCCTGTAGCTGTGGAGGGGAGTTCTGAAGAGGTGTTCCTATCCTACCTGTTATACATTAAGGGACACCAGAGGGATGAAAGGTAGTCAAAAAGTATGTCAGAGAGACTGTGGCCTGTTTCTCTCTCACCTTTTGGGCTTCTATGGCCTCAGTTACCCTCTTACTGAAAACTACTGTTAACCTAAGTTTAGACCAAGGTAATGGTCTCCTTTCTGCTGCAGAATTTCTTAGAGATATTCATAGGGGCAAGAATGTACTTTGTTTAGTTTTTGAGTCTGAAATCCTTGCCATGAAGGTGAGAAAAATCAGATTTTTTCCTCATTTATTTAAAAAAAATGTTTAAGAACCAAATTACATGTAACCTGGACTATATAAATAAGAAAGAGTCTCATATTAACTAAAAAACCCCAGAAAGATCCTAAAATCTTATCGCTCTAATAATACTGCTTTTTGTTTTGGGGATAGATTTCCCTTCAGCTTTTGAGAGTTAAACTCTTTGACGTTAAGATGTATATTAGTTATTGCTGTTAGTGTTTGACTAGTTGGGTAAGGTGGTGTTTGTTTCCGAAATGCTTTGGGAGTTCAATCTTTATGGCAATGGGAATTTTTCAAATACTTGTTGTCTCTTAAATTACTTTCATGATTTATTATGAATAAAGATTATATGTTATCAAGGGTTTACTTTGGTCTTAGATACAAATTTTAGCTCTCAGTAAATTTAGAGGCCACATTAGCCTTTTAATAGCTAAACAATTTGCTAGGTGCCAGTGTTTTGATTTTCCTTCCTTAACCAATGTTTGATTGATAGTGTGCTGTATATTAGTAGAGCAAACCAAGACAATGTATACAGAAAAGTAATTTGCAAAGAGGAATTCATTTCCATGTATTGGGTACTAGGACTTTGGAGTTCATCCTATGGATGGTGGTGATCTTGAAAAACCATTTTCCACTTCTTATTCTGCCTTAGCGGTGGCACAAAGGTTTCTGAGAGCAGCAGTGTTGGAAAATGCTGCTTGTTGGCCCTGGGGCTTCCCCAGAGGTCCTTAATGTCCCAAAGTGAGATGCTTGTAAGGCACACTCACGCCTTTCATCAATTTTCTAGATCAGTGATATCCAATCATAGTGAACTGCAAAGGCAAACTACTTATGTAATTTTAATTTTTCTAGTAGCCACATGAATAAAGAAAAAGAAGCACATGAAATTTTAATAAATACTTTAACCCGATATATTAAGATATTATAATTTTAATATGTCATTAATATAAATATCTTTGATGAAATATTTTACATTCTCTCTTTTTTTTTTTTTGGACCCGCCACCTCCAGCATATGGGGCCGGCGCCCTATTCCTTTGAGCCACAGGCACCACCCCATTTTCTCTTTTTGTACTAAGAGTTTGAATCCTATCTGTATTTTACCTGTATAGACATCTCACTTCTAAGGGGTGACATTCCAAGTGTTCAGTAGCCACATGTGGCTAGTGGCCACTATACTGGGCAATGCAGTTCTAGACGCTTAGATGGTAGATGTGTTTTGAGGGTATTTTGAGTCTGTAGAAAAGTCATTAATTGTTAAACAAAACTGATGTCTTCCTTAACATCAAAAATAATCTAGACATTAACATTTTATTCTAGGTACAAATACAGTCATTTATGAACAGTACTTTTGGAAAAATCTCATCTTCTCAGCAGGCTCTTCAGCTGCTTCAAAGGTACTTATAATGCTTTAAGCAGGATAGTTTCTAAGTAGAAAAACTTTATATCTGAAAATACAATTTCAAATGAGATGTTCTTGGCTATCTCTCCCACATAGGCCTTAAAATGTAAAAATATTAACCTTTCAATTACTACTTAATAAATTGGTAAAATTTGAAATACAGAATGATACTTTTTCATTGCATTTCTTTTTTTTTTTTTTTTTTTTGGTAGTAGAAAGTCTTTCAATAAGAAATGCAATTATTTCACATTTTTACTCCCCCTTCTCAGCCCCGCCATGTCATATGTTTAAGGTTAATTTCATAGGTATCATTGGAAAGGGAACAAATAATGTTTAACTCTACACACTAAAAAATATCTAAAGTGAGATTATCAAAGACTAATAGATACTAAAACTTTCCATCTCCCCCGTCTCCAATGAGGCTCTGGCACCTTTTAAAAACAATTGTACATACTTAAGCTGTACATGGTACAAACACCAGGTACTTAAGTCTCGTGAGATGGTTGCTACAAGGAAGCAAATTAACATGTGTCATCTCAAAAAGTTACTCTTCCCTTTTTTTGGTGGCACAAGCACCTGAAATCTACTCTCAGCTTCCTTTCCCTCCATTCCAACAGCACTGCTCTCTCAAAGGGCGGGAGGGAATCCTGAGTTAGAGGGATGAGCTGGTCTAGAGGCTCCTCCCTCCAGCTCAGGAAAGGCTTAGAACCCATGAAAGGGACCCTTGGGAACTCTTCCCTGAGAGCCGGTGGTAGGTTTGGGTCTGGCTTTGTTATAGTTCCATGTCTCTATAGTGATGGCACATACCTGGTGAGACCATCGTAAAAAAGTCAAAACAGACATAAAATGACTTTGGCAAATGTCAGTTCTACACAGAAAACAGGTACCAATTTATTGGCGACCTCTCTCTCTGTCTCTGCCTCTCTGTTTTTGCCTATAGTGTGCTGGTGTGAATTCATTTCGTTAGTGCAGTGCTGTGGTTTCAGTACTTGCTGTGTGTCATTTAGTCTCTAGATGGGAGTAATCTTTGGCTGATGAAGTTGTTCCTATGCTTATGGTTATTTGGAATTATGTGAGTGTTAACATTGGCTAGGTCCATTCTGTGATCTTGCCTCCATCTGTGCCAAGCCGACTCCTCACTCATCTTTTTAATCTCAGTTTAGGTGTCCCTTTCTCAAGGAAGTCTTACTTGAGTCTCCAGACTTGGCTAGGTCCCCTGTTATATGCCTTTCTGGCCCCCTCATAATTTAAGTAATTATTTGTGTCACTCTTGACTTCTATTTGCCCTTCCCATAAGATAATTGTAGGTTCCAGGAGGGCTAGGACTCTACCTGTCTTGTTCACTGCCGTATCCTAGGACAAGGCATGAGGCCCACTATGAATGAATGAATGGATATTTATTATATTTCTCACTTCTTAATTATTCATCTTCAATTATTTTTAGATTTCAGAAGCTGAACATCCCCTGTCTTCAATTAGAAATAAACCATACAATTGAGCGTATTCTTCAGTTTTACGTGGCTGAACTTGATGCTACGAAGAAGGTAAGTGTCACAGTTACAAATGGAATGGTACATTAGTGCAAAAAACAATTCTGAAAGTATGTGCCATCATTGTTTTGTGCCAAGCTTTTCAAAATGATTTCTTCTCTGCTAAGGACCTTCACTGCTAACACATTAACTGCCATGTGAGTTGTATTTAACTCATACTCATATTGAGCTGGGGGCTTCTTGAAGCTATCGAACCCCTGCTGCTGTCAATCAGCAGTCTCCTCCACCTGCTGTCACCTGCTCCAGCACAAGCACTTCACCATAACTTGTTGTGCATTTTGTCTTGTTGCCTGGTGACTCTGAACAAACTCCATCTGATAGTAGACAGCAACATGACATTGTTGTACTTACTTAGGGGTGTGATTCAGAGGTCCTCATTCAGGACCACCCATGGTCCACTCCAGACACAGCTACATACAGTGGAATGACAAAAGACTCACTTCTCCGAAAGAAATTCAGGGAGTATGTTGTGAGTCATGTAGAACTCATATGGTGTGCAGTGTGAAAATTGATCCTAGGACTGTGTGAGTTGCATATAACTCATGCACAGAACACAGTTAAACATAGCAAATTTTTCATTAAATTAGAAAGGATTGTTTTGTTTTGAAGTTTTTATTCCATTTTCATAATAAAACACTGTGGTCCCGAGGAAACAATTTTTGTCTAGTGTGGCAGTTAATGTGCTGCTAGACCTCTCCTCTCTGGGTGGGAAGTGCAGCGCGTGCCGCTGGTCAGCCAGCTTCATGCCTCTTTGCTCTTAGGAACTGTCTTTTTGCCATAGTTTTCAGGTGTGTGTCTAGGAAAGCCCATTTGAATTAGTATTTTGAGGATCGTAATATAGGTCTGGAGACTGTTGTGAGAGATGTAATGATGTAATGTTATCTATATGCTCCTTTTCGGAGAATACTTCCTTAAAGTTTGGGATAAGGACTGGGCACAGTGGTTCTTGCCTGTAATCCTAGCACTCTGGGAGGCCAAGGCCGGTGGATTGCTTGAGTTCAGGAGTTTGAGACCAACCTGAGTAAGAGCAAGACCCTGTCTCTGCTAAAAATAGAAAATCCTGAGGCAAGACGATCTCTTTAGCCCAAGAGTTTGAGGTTGCTATGAACTGTAACACCATGGCACTCTACTCAGGGTGCCAGAGTGAGACTCTGTCTCAGAAAAATAAAATAATCTGTGATAAGGGCAGAAAAAAAATACATGTAATAGGAAATAAAGGTGTAGAGAGAATTAAGTGTCACTATTATAAACATTGTTTCTGAGCTTCAAGTTATCATCTCTGATGTGTGCTTAGCTATTTCTTACTGCCTATAAGACAGTGGTTCTCAACCTTCCTAATGCCGTGACTCTTTAGTACAGTTCCTTATGTTGTGGTGACCCCCAACCATAAAATTATTTTCGTTGCTTATGGTTGGAGGTCACCACAGCATGAGGAACTGTATTAAAGAGTCACGGCATTAGGAAAGTTGAGAACCACTGCAGTATAAGACGTATAAATAAGTAAAATGATACAAATATAGCTGTGTACTTTTTGCTTTTTCCACTGCATTAAATTCAGACATTAACTTTGTATTTTAAATTATAGCTTTATCATTCTCAAAAAGATGACCCACCTCTCGCTCGCAACATGCCCCCTATAGCAGGAAAAATCCTTTGGGTGAGGCAGCTCTATCGCCGGATCAGTGAGCCCATCAACTATTTCTTTGTAAGCCAATAATTAAATTTATAATATGTGGATTATGGTAGCTATAATATAAGAAATATATTTTTTCCTATAATATTGGTGTCCAATAAAGAGCCCGTTCTTTTACCAGGCAAACAAAATTTCGTTTACAAATATAAACTTGAGAGAGGCTAAGTCATTTCCTTCATGCGCAGTAGATAAGCCAGTTTAATTGCAATTATCTTGAAGCCAGTGAATCTTATAACTTTATATGTCTTTCATTAGTAATAACACAGGGCACTTTAAAAAGCCCTTTTAAAAATAAAAAATTTGAAAACACAATAAAGCACAGGCCTAGCACCAGAGCTTGCTTACGTGTGTGGACAGATAGGTCATGGATCTATGTGTTCAGTGGAGGTAAAGATCCACCCAAAGAATGTATTCCTGTATGAAGTCCTGATGCCAAGGGCAGGGTGTAATTGAGTCTGTTCATTCTCTGTGTCTTTAAGATTATTAGATTTCTGAGAAACAACGTAGTCTTAGGCCCTGTTGGCATTCTAAAGCTGACAGGAGGTCTTTTCTTTGTCCTTGTTCTTTTGTTTTTATTTAAGAGACAGGGTAGCAGAGTTGGTTTGCATGCTGTCTTATGCTTAAATATGGAACAAAATAACCATAAAGCAATAGGCTTACAAGTAATTTTATTATTTAATTGTTTCTGTTTGGCTGCCATCATTTACTTCATTGTTCTCAGTATTTTAAAAAAGGATTAAAACCATGGCCTTGGATAAGAGGTCAAGGTGGGGGACTCAGTCTCGATTGACTTCATGGTGGCAGGGCGGGGATTATTATTACCCTGATTGACATATGTGAATTGAAACCTAATCTTTCAGTTTTTACATAAAGAAATTGATTTTTATTCTTTGATATATGGTTATCCTTTTTTGTGTGCTGGTATTTTTTTTTTT